TCCGGCCCCTTCTCCAACTCCCTCTCCCTCTGGAAAAACATCCTCATCTCAGTCAGAAAGAGGGCCTGGAAGACCCTTGTTGTTCCAGGAGCCGGCCGATGGCCCGTGCTACTTTCGGCCGCTTCAACGGTCCTCTCGAGAAGACTGTTGGTCCGGGCCAACTCTGTGACCATGTCATTGACAGCCGCCACCCAGGCCTGGTCGTCATACTCCTGGAATTCCAGCTCCTCGCCGATGATGCTGGGCAAGGGGCCGGGGACGATCTCAACAGAGTCGTCCGAAGGAACCCGGACTCCTCTGACGCCTCTTTGCCTTACCCTTAGGAGACGGAGTCCCCGCAGCACGGGGCCGCTTCTTACCCTTGCCCTTGTCAGTATCCGTCCGGGCGGGTGGCGCCCCACCATGGCACTTCATCTTCGCAGTGCGACAGTGGTCACACGCGTTGACCGGCTTCAAAACATCAGTAAAAACTCACATCCGGACGAAAGAAGTCCACTCACCCGGCCCGTGGCAGACACGCCCGAGTAAACGCAGGCCCGCTTCTTATCGGAGCAGGGCTTACAGGGTCGTCCGACGTCCTTAAAGCCAACAGAAACCTATGTCCATCAGACAAAAAACATCGGCCGACGAAATACGCTACTCACTGCAGGCCCGGACGAAGCGGACTTCTCAGCAAGCCTCTTCCGGGTCTCCTCTATGTCCTTCTTCTTCTGCTCCTCCCTTAATCTCTCCTCCTCCTTCAGCCTCTCCTCCTCCTTCAGCTTCTCCTCCTCCAAACGCTTTCGCTCGGCTTCCATTTCCGCGAGTACTCTCTCTTCCTCCTGGGCCAGCTCTTGCTGCGCTGCGTTTAGCCGGGCCCGGATGGCCGCAAGCCGGGCATTGGTAGCCGAGGTAGAGTCGGATGGGGTCTGGGACATGATAGTGGAGTTGGTGGGTGGTAAGAATCAAAGGGAATGGCGTCCCATCAAAGACCCTCAACCCTTTATCAATTTTTCGCTAAAAATCCGGATCCGTTCTCGCGCTCTTATCATCGGATCGGAGATCCGGCCTCGGCCTCGTGGGCTCGGCCTTAATGGGGGGATACTGTCATATCCCATACATGAGGCTTCTCGTCCGGTCCGATCCACCCGATTCCTCGGGTCCGTTCTAGAATTCATTTCCCTGAGTCCCCATTTGTATAGGCTTCTTTCTGCCCCTATGTGTCCGGATCATCCTGACAGTTAATGTCCGGGTTCATTCTGATCCGTCCGTTAGTCTATTCATTTCCCTTTCATTTAACTTGTCCCCCCTGTTTCATTTAATCTCCGGCTCCATTCTCGATCGTCCGCAGCGGTTCATATCCGTTAGTACATTTTCTACATAGCCCTCTGATCCGAAGACTGCGCTTCGGCCGGAAACCCGTCGGATACACTACAGTATATAAACCCTTTGTAACCCGTAGTATTTCCTCAGTTCGAATATTAACTTAGACTCTGTTCAATCCTCGTGTCCTCTCGGCTCTTGGGATTATTACCCTAGTCCGATCCTCCGAGCCTCGGGATTATATCCCTAAAGCTAAATACCTCCGCCTCTACCTTCGGGTAGTCTGTACCTTGTTAGTTTCTACCCGGACGAAGTCTCGGGTAGTCTTCCCTCTCTCGTCCGGCCCGTCTATACCCTTTGGCCGACGATATCCAAACCCCCTGTAAATTAGGGGCACGTACTCGGGTAAAGAGCGCAGCGCACGAGCTGAAGCTAAGCCCCTCCGGTCCGACCCGTTGAACACGGTCTTAACAGGGGGCGGGTATTCGGAGGTAATGCTCAGTGTATGTAATCTGCCCGCCCCCACCCACCTAATTATATTCATCTATGGCGCGCCGGTGTTCCCACGCGCCTTGCCCTTTCCCCTCATCGCCCTACACAGTCTCAACGCCTACCGCGGTGTCATCCTCTCCCCAGGGTAGCTCAAACTTGCTGTCGCCATCGTTGCAGGAGCCCAGCTGCAGTCCCTGCGCTGCTTTCCCCGTCCAGACCGACTCAAGCTTGCTGTCGTCGTCATTGTAGGAGCCCAGCTGCAGTCCCTGCACTGTTTTCCCTGTCCAGAACTGATCGCCTCACCACCTCCACTGCCTGCCCATCCTTCTGTTGTCAACGCGCCCTATTGTGGCCTCCCCCATACCATCCACGCCTCCATGCCTCATGCCTCAGGCACTTCCAAGATCACTGGACTGTCTAAATCAATCATCTCACACAGCTTCAGAGGACGGCAACGCCAATCACGAGTTCTTACGGCTGGAAAACAGCACCAGCGCATGGGGGCAGCAGATGCACTCCGCCAATCTGAACTTCAAGGTTTGTTTATAATCCTCTGATGTTTAAATCTTTACATTTATATATATACATACACATCAGAAATGTCAGCGGAAGATCGGGATGTAGTCGAGAGCATGGTCGCCGACCATGGCATGGACATCAAGACACTACCATATACAGCACCTCCGGGAGACGAGGGCTTTGGTATAAGCCATGAAGGTGGTGAACACGAGGCATTTGAAGGACTGGCGCATCAGATTGCTGACATTGGTGGATAGCAAGTATTTCTCCCATTGAACCTATGCACTTGGCTTACCTTAATGCAGTCACTATCATGATCATCGCACTCGCCGAGACCACATAGAAGATCAAATGGAACACTGGAACCTCCAAATTGACTTCTTGGTCGCTGCCTATCTAGACTATCGTTCACGCGACTCTGGAGATGGCATGCCCATCCTTGGCGACATACCTATTGAGCCACTTCCAGACACGAGAGACTGCCTTTCGATCAAGGATATTGAACTTGTTGATATATTCAGTAAGTATCAGTCTCTTCTCTATTCAGCTGCTTAATTTCGCCCTCCTCCAGAACGAACTTGCTCATCTCTTCACTCGCTCACCTCTCATAAGTATCCCAATGAGACACTCATTTATTATGGCTACATCGGGTGTGCGCCAATGTACCCGACCGTTGCGATATCGCTTCGCACTCTCGCTGCTTACCACCAATCTCATCGTACATGTCCTCGCTTTGGCATCCAAGCGCAATGTAAAACACTTGCTTTTCTTCATGATGTCAGTATTTCCCTTTGCAGTCAAGCCTGTCTATTGATAGGTAGATTTGGATTGACAGATTCCGTATCGCCTGTACCTCAACATGCAATTCTCTGTTGCTTACGACATCTATTTAGAGATCCGCCATTGTGTGCAACAGCGTTTGCAGGCACCACTCGGGCGTGATACACCAAATTGGTGTTTATTGAATTCCTGCCCTGCATGTTTCTATAAGCTCCGAGACGAACCCAAGCTTGAGTTTGACTGGCTTATATCCATTGATGGCAACAATAGCTTGAAACGGTGGGATTCCACGATATATGGGAACACTCCACGTGTAGATTCTCGATGGGCTCGTTCGGACTATTGGGTTGAACCCAAAGCTGTGGACCGGTTTCAAAATGAAGTTTGAGCACACGATGTGAGTAAACTATCTTGGTATGAACAACGGTTGATGATATTTTGCAGATTGCTTCACATGTTGATGATTGGCAGGATGAGCCTGTTGAGGTAAATCCTTCTCAGTCATTCTCTTGTGTTGACCGATGGCGAAACGCTGGGCCCGAAACATGAAAAAAAAATGTTCTCAGTCTTTGACGAATCCAGAATATTCATCGCCGCATGTCGCCACCGTTTCGTACTTGTAGCATGTGATATGCTTCGAAGCGGTGAACTGTAGGTCAGTTTAGTTTTGATTTAGTCATTGTTGATTTGACTCCCAGGGCCAAATATCCCCTGGCGCTCATTGACAAACTCCTTGGTGTTTACGGGCCTAACGGAGGCTGTGCTTATGATATAGGATGTGCGTTTTCAAAAACATTGAGCAGTAGTTCCTTGGCGTCTCAAGTGAATAACCTTGGCTTCCGAATGATGGTGGGTGCCTTTCATGGCCATGCCCACAATTGAAAATGTCAGTTACACTGGCATCTGTTGTATATCCCCGGAACAGGACATAGTGAAGGCGAAGGGTGCGAGCATATCTTCTCAGCTTCAAACAAACTTGCTCGGAGCACCAGACATGCGAGTCCATTCCATCGGCACCAATCCATTGAAGAGCACTTCTCATTTTGGGATAAGGACAAATATGCGGTCCTAAGTGCGTAACATTCATTTGGTAATCGCCATGCTGACACGTTCTACATTTATCTGACAGGTAATTTTTTATGGAATCATTATCGGGAGGCATTGAAGGTGATCACGACCCTCACCGTCGAGCTAACGATCATCAAAGCTGAGCTACAACTCACCGATGATGACTTCCCTCGATTCCTCCATGAAGAGTGCAATTATCTTGAGAGTTTGAAGGAGCTCCCTGTAAAAGACAACCTCTGTATCCGCTATGTCGAGGTCTTAGATGAACTTGCTGAACGAAGGTAAGTCCAATCTTACTGTTAATAGCATCCCTGATGAGCGACTCATTCCAGGGCTGATTGGGTCTTGGCTCGTGAAGCTGCAAATAATGCCCTTACCAATATCCCTGCTAGTAGTTTGATGCAGATCAACCAAGCACTAATGGCCGCCCGTATCAAAGTGGATTCATCATATGCGAAGTTGCAGCACGCGTAGGAGCTTGTGGCCCATATGGAGATTCAGCTAAGCATTGACGTATGGTGGGAGATCGGTGGCAAAGAATATAAACACTTCAAAGATGAAGCTTCACTCAGTAAATATCATACGGCACTTGATGAGCTAGAACGGCTCATCGTCATGAGGTTTGAACTCTCGAAGTTGTCATTGTCCGGCACAGGTATATCAAATTTGATGTGTTCACTCCAGTGCTAATCTATTCTTTTAGGGTATAAACTACGGCAACAAATCAGCAAGGCCTTACAGCGGTGTTCTGAAACTATTCGGAAGGCTATTACTCGCTACAATGTTCAGGCTGCAGCCCTGAATCCACCGCGTCCAAATATTTTGTGGAAGGATATTGCAGATTACAGTTTTATTGCCGAGTTTGACCTTTTACGCCACTCACGCACAGACATCGGGAGCAATGATTGGGCTAAGCCAGTTCATCGAGAAGCCACGACAAAAAATTTTAAGCTTCTCCGAGCATGTGAAGAAATTGACTGACTCAACATCGAATTTCGTCGACTGCGCACGGTCATTCACGATGAGGAACTTCAGGTAGCTGGTATCATACACGACCTGCTTATTTCAGACCCATTGCTTGGCCGCGAGTTGAAGCGCCAGTGGTGTTCACGAGCAGCTATCAATGCTGTACACTCATATCGCTTAGATCAGATTGCGGGTCTCACCGGATTCTCTGGAGTCAATACTGTTGGCATCCGCCTTGAACTCACTGCAAATGCTCATGTATTGAATGGTATGTCTCAAGTACCGCGCAAATTCATGCTAACTCATGCCACAATGCACAGCTGGTCATATCTCTGTACCACAAGAGGACAGGGACGATGTTCTGGCAATCATCAGGTCAGACTATGATAATATGGAAGCCATTGATCGAGAGGAAGACAAGGCAGCGACACAGGACATGGCAGATTACTTACATTCCATCATTGACTGACCGTCCTGTATATATTACCATTTTGTTACTGAATAGATTTGAGATTCTGCGACGGAGTTCTCGAAGTATCCCTGAAGAAAGTCGCCACCAGCAGATTTTGGTTAAGAGTTCTCCAAGTATCCCTCAGTGAAGAAAGTCACCGCCGGCAGATCTTGGTTAACCTGCGACGGTATTCTTGAAGTATCCCTGAAATTGTCTGGTTGGGATTTGACGGTGTTCTCCCTGAAGAAAGTCACTGCTCGGGCTGATGCTATCACAGATTTTAACTCACACATGTTCATTTTTTCTAACTACATGTACATATATGAATGACCCACACACTAGAGACACTGTCAATAAAAATGTAGCGCTAGCATGTGGTGCATGCAAAGTGTTGATGCAGTTGGATACCGAGATCTTACAGAGTATGTGACTTGTCTTGCCACATGCCCGAAGCATGCATACACAATTCAAGTGTACAGATCTGCTGCCACTGTGGATACCTCTGTATCTTAAACACAAAATCATATCAAGACGTGCTCAAACCTGCTTCAAAATTGAATCATGACATCTGTACTACAAGATACAAATCTACAAGGGAGCAACAGCTTCCTATCATTCAAGTCTGTAAGTTGCTTAGTGTTAATCACTCGTGCTTTCTTACTGAATCTTACATTTTCATATATACAACACTGCACCTGTTTGGATTCGACTGCGAGGCTACCTCTAACCATGACCACTCCCATTAAACCAACCAAGCAAACTCCCTCTAATGCTACACCATCTCCAGCTCGAGTGGCAAGCTATAGTCGCTTTAACATGACTAGCATTGCTGCTCTTCACTCGTCAACATTCGCTGAGGGCTTCAGCAACAACGAGCGTCAAGCGGCTGCTAGGGCACTGCTTAGGCATGATGTGCATATTGACGGTACTCATTATCAGATGAGGACACCTCAGGGTCTCCACCCATCTTATATCGCATTCAATTCTCCTGTGGAACAAGTGGACAAGAGGACCCTCACACAAGATGACCTACTAGAAGCGGGGCTGCAGGATATATTTGATGTGGTAAGTTCAAGCTTCAAGTTTGATTCTCTTTTCTGATTCTTTTCATAGGTTAACTTGCAAGATCGCCTTGACGGTGGCATCTCACTTATCATCCGCTGTGCTGGTATGGCAGCAGGTCCAAAATTCACGGCTGAGAAAATCCCCTTGGACATCTATATTACTCCCCGCGAGTTGCAAGCGACACCTGAGCACATCGGTGGAGATGTTGCTGTTTGGGCCCAAGTGTTTGCTCAGGAGTTTGCCATCCCGCATCTCCAGCGTTTTTCACAATGTTGTGCTATCGAGAAGGTCACCCCACCCAAGTGCTGTAAGTAATCATACTTCTCTATTGTACATCACTGACTCATTTGTAAAGTTCCTGCTACTCATATCACTCTCAATGGATCTCAATATCTGCCCGGACCAACGGTTCCTACCGGTTCTCGCATACAATGCTCCGCACAGCCTGCCGAGGTCTTTACAAGCAACTTACAAGCTTCCATGAATGACTCAGAAGCAGCCAACATCCCATCCGCTGCTATCCGTGAAGGGGTGGCACTCACCAAAAGCACGTCAATACAACCTGCAGTGTTTGTACAGGCGCCACGTCAGCTTCGCCAACGCAGACTTGCGGAAGTATTCTGTCCTAGTCGGAACCCTGGTGAGAAGTTAGCGGGTCCGATATTTTCGCATCAGGGTCCAGATGGCATTGACACCAGCATGATTGCCCCCGCCGCGCTCATAAGTACTGGTCCAAACACTGATGCTGCCCTGAATCGGCTGAAACTTGGGGACGAGATTCTGCCGAAATTGCGAATTCTAGCCAGCACCATCCGTAGCAGCCGATGGGAGGTGGTTTTTAGATCTCTGAAGTGGGATCTTAACTATGAACACGCTTCTGTGTTGGCCAAGGCTCTCCTCACTGACTTACAGGGAATCACGCTAAACCCTGATGCTGTGCAGGTCAGTAATTTGTTCATGCACTAGTCTCCATACTAATTATCCCTTTTCACATTTAGCCTCATCCATTATTTGTGTTTACCCTGCTGACCGTCATTCTGAAAATTCTTGGCATTCTGGTTTTCTTATGTGCGCTTTACTTGTTTGGGTTGTTATTTATGTACTAGATCTTGAATTTGTTCCGTAGGCTCAATATATGCATTAAATGTAGTTCGCATCCTGGAACACCGTGCAGAAATAATTTTATTTCTGGTGTGTTAAAAGCCTTAACTCGAGTATGAAAATATTGATGTCTAGATCTCCCCCCCCCTCATTGAAGATGGTCTCTGAATCATTCTACGCAATGAAACACAGTGCTACGTCTCGTCGAAATCAGGCGCCTCGAAGATGCCCAAAGGTTACACTCAGTAAAGAAGCACGAGCAGCACTCAAGGTTGCACAGCGCGACAAGTCTCGCAAATTCAAGGAAGCCCTTGATGATGCTTGGGACCAGATCAACGATGCTACAAAGACTATCGCTGGATCTCACCAGAAGAGCATCCGACGAGTCCAAAATCAGTTGTACTTTGGTCGTGGTCTGCTACGCTCAAAGCGCTCGAAGCCAAATCTCTGGAACACGTTTTACTGGAAGAAAAGCCAGGATAAAGAAAACCGTAATCTATCTTGTTTTTTTTGACCGCTATATACTTATTCTAACATATATCCAGATGGTGAAGGTAGAGCTGCGCTTCAGTCCCTAGTCCACCATCATAAGGAAGCATACCATGCACTGTCAAAGCAAGAACAGGAGGACCTCTTGAAGGAGTTCGCAGAGCAGAGGGAGACTAAGACTCTTGGTCTGCGCATCTCGATGAAGTCGAAGGTGAACGATATCACTCAGACCTTAAAGGCTGTTGAGAATGAGGTTTGGAGGTTCACTAATTTTACGTTGTCGTTTTGCTAACTCGGTTTATTTATTCCAGCTCAACAGTCTTAAATGTCGCACTGGCGCCGAGAGCATTTTATTCACAACGCGTGGCTCAATGGATCTCCCTTTACGTGGAGTCACCTTCGCCACTGAGGGAGTTCAAAATTTCATGGGCTTGGTGATGGGGATTGATAATCAAGATTTCATGAGCAAGATGGAAGGCTTTGCCATACAAGGGATGAAAGGTTGGAATTTTCTTATTGTCAACATTATTGCCTGCAATCTAACACTATTTTATTTACAGGTGCCGGGAAAAATCATCAACAGCTTGTCTCTGACATGCGTGCCTCAATCCGCCAGCTCATTAATGTCAAACTCCGTCAGTTCATTTACTTCCATGATGGCAGCATCACTTACCTTCATCAATAGAAGAGATCACTGGCAAGCCTCGTGCCGCCATGCAATGGACGCACTACTTCTGTAATGTGGTTCAACGTTATCAGGTCGTAATTGAAGGGTGGCCGGAAAGCATTGAGTTCACAAACCTCAGCAATGTGTCTAGCGCACTCCCAGATCTCAAAATGCTCGAGCGGCAGTGGAAGTCAGGTGCTACAAAATGGATAACCATCAATGATGATGAGCTCAAGAAACTTCGTCTCGAGCGCGACGAGCAGCTTGATAACGGTGAGATCACTGACCATTGTCGACGCACTCGCTCTGACAAGGGAAGGAAGCGCAAACAACCTCCAGCGTCTCAGAAGGGAAATACTAATTGGCACAAGATTCACAAGAGTGTGGAATTCCTCGAGAGCAGCGACAAGGAAAACGAGCCTGACCAGCCCCCAATTGCCGCTACTAGTCCTCCAGCACAGTCTGCCACTGCGCCCTCAGCAGATGAGTCAGGACCGAGTACTCACCCTGCAGAGCAGTTCAACGCTCTGGAGTTCCCTCAGTTCAACACCCACGAGTTTGCTAAACTCAATGCTCACGGGTTCGCTGCAGGGTCCAATCTTCCACCTTTTGACCCTGATGCTGCCTTGGCTCACCTCGACATGTTGTTCGGCCCAGATAACTTCCTTGATTTCAGTGGCACCATCTGATACATTACCTTTCATTTCAACTATGTCCTTCTCCGAATGTCGTACAGTCTTATAATGCAACCAAGTTCGTGTCAATTTTCCAGACTGATTCATACTGTGACCTATTGAATGGGTGTAGCACGTTGTATGATATAATGAGGACTGAGGAATGGGGATGTGCAGTGTACACGAGCTACTACATAGTGTTACAGTGGCCACACCTATTTTCCCATCATCACGCTCCCCTGAACTATTCTTGCTATCGTTGACTGCTTATCAACATGCGCTGCATGAACATTCCAGATACTTCTGTCTATTCTTGTTATCTCTGACTGCTTATCAACATGCACTGCATGAACATTCCAGATAGTTCTTTGATGTTCTTCCTGATTCCTTTTTACTTCCAAAGTCGGCCTGGTCTGTGCCTCTTCTGTTCTCTATAAATACTGCGATAGTTGTACTTGTATTTCTCTAACTTGAATCTACTTGGTTCTCTCTGATACTTGATTATCTTCTGAGGAAGATACTCGATTCCGATCTAGCTCTTATAGAGACTAGCCTATACTCGAACTTCACTTAGAAGGAGAGCCCTTCAAGTGTCTGAACAGAACATCGTAACAAGAAGAACTCCTTTATTGGATTAGTTACGCAAGAACTATCCAAGTCGTAACAAAAGATTCAAGTTACCCAGAACCCCTCTTATCACCGAGGGACCTACCCATTCTGAAACCCTGAACCCAGAAGAAGAAAGACAAGACGTCTTCTCAGAAGCTGTCCTCGGCTAAGGCAAGACACGCAGCCGGAGGAATCCTAGGAGGAGACCCATACCCCAGAACACAAAGAACTCCCACTCAAACCCCTCAGAACCCGTTCTCATCCCTATTAGCAGGACCATCCGCTATAACCAGAGGGGTCATTGCATCACCAATAGGATACAGTTTGTTTGAGGAAGGATTATCCCAGAACCAAGAATCATTGCAACAAGAACACTTCCAGAACCCACCTGTTGATAAAGACGAAGAAATCCCTGATGCTCCACCGCTTGATCTTGACGACGAGGAAGAAGAAGACTACGACGAAGAACCTGAAGACCCAGAAGACCCCGAACCCCAAGAGACCACTATGGCAGGAAGAGGAGACAAACCCATCGAACGGAAGGTTGGATACCCACCTGACTTTTCCGGAGACAGAGAGAAATTTTCCCAATGGCTATGCCTAGTTGATTCATACATTGAAATCAATGATGAAATCTACGACACCGACAAGCGAAAGATCATCTTCGCTCTTTCATTCATGAAAGAAGGAGCAGCAGCTCTCTGAATGGAAGATTTCATTAGCTTTACCAGAGAAGAAAACCCGACCTCAACGACCGGAGCAAAGAACGGTTTTGGAACCTGGAAGGATTTCATCACCAAGATGAAAGAAAGTTTTCCCCCAATAGACTCTGTAGGAACAGCTCTCCACAAACTCTGCAACCTCAAACAGAAGGACAATCTTGGCGAATACATTGCCACATTCAAGCAACTTGCCCAGAAGGCCGGAATCAACAATTTCGCTGCTGTAAAGGACTATTTCTTTAACGGTTTGAACTATAGAATCATCCAGAAACTTTGTAACTCTGGATAAATCCCCGAAGACGTGGAGAAACTCTTCAGGAAAGTCATCAACATCGAAAATGCTTACCAACTTCTCTGTTCGCACAACGCCCACCATTCGAACCATCATAACAAGAAGAGGAACAAAAATCGTAAACCAACCCGGTTTTCAGGAACCCCAAGAGATGAGAATGCGATGGACGTAGACCGCCTAACCGAAGATGAGAAACGAGAATACATGAGGCAAGGAAAATGCTTCAAATGCGGAAAGGTCAGACATCGTGCGAATGACCGCACATTCCATCCTAAAGATTCCGGAGATGACTGAAAGAAGGGAAAAGGAAAGCAACCGGTAAGACGCGAACCATCTGATGATGAAGAATCTTCCAGCAAAATCGAAGAAGAAGAAGACGATGAATCTGTCAGAAGATGGAACTTGGATTTTTAACCTCGGAGCCTGCCGCAATGTCAGATACTCCATATATCGATGTACGTATAGCCAAGAATGTAGGAAAGACTAAAGAATTTAGGGTCCCAGCGACCATCTTCTCCTCCATACATCCCGATAAAGCATTGCACACAACCACCATAGTAGACTGTGGCGCAGGGGCAACATTCATCAACTGGATGTTTGTCCGGAAACATGGAATCAAGATTCACAAGTTCAACAAACCCTTCTCTATCTGAAACGCCGATGGACAACTCTCGAAGAAGCAATGTACCCATTATTGTCATCTAGCCATAAAGATCGACAACGCCTCATGATCGGGAAGTTCAACGTAATGACCATGGGAGAAAGAGATATGATTCTCCTTGGTAAACCCTGGTTATCAGCCATGAATCCCAACATCAATTGGGTAAAAGACACCCTCAAACTCCCAGCCACTCCACACTCTCAGAAGCTAGAACAAGAATACCAAGAAATGTGGAAGATTCCCACTCCCCTTCCCCAATATGACACCAAGGATGACATTTGGGACGATGTTCCTACTGAAACCTTGTTCACCCGAAAAGTGGATGATGTCTCCACTTATCCGATCAACGACGATGAAGTGCTCATTGAATACTCTCCTGATGGGTCAACTGTCAGGATCATTGAAAACCTTTCCCTCGACACCCCTCTCACCCAAGATGGAACATCCGCAATTGAGCTTAAACGAGCAATCTCGATACAACCGCTAAGAAATCAATGGATATTTTCAAGGAAGACCACCAATGAAGAATACCTGAAAACCAGCAACAAGGCTCAAGAATTTGCCCTAAAGGATGCACAAGAAAAGAAGAAAAAAACTTTCGAAGAACTTGTCCCATCTTATCTCCACGACTTCACCAATATCTTCACTAAAGATGGGTTAAACAAGTTGCCTCCCTCCAGGCCAGGAGTGGATCATAGAATCGAAACCAAACCTGGCTATGTCCCTAAATCAGCGAAAACCTACCCATTATCCCAGAAAGAAACCGAAGCAGTAAAGGCTTTCTTAGACGAACATCTTTCGAAAGATTTCATTCAACCATCAAAGTCCCCCCAAGCCAGTGGTTTCTTCTTTGTCGGAAAGAAAGACGGCTCCCTTCGCCCTTGCCAAGACTATCACTATATCAACGAATGGACGATAAAGAACACATACCCCCTTCCCCTGATTCCCCCCTTAATCGCAAAATTGCAGGGCGCAAATTATTTCACAAAGATGGATGTTAGATCCGGATACAACAACATCCTGATTCATCCTGATGACCATTGGAAAGCCGCATTCACTACCTCATTTGGGCTTTTTGAACCGAAGGTCATGTTTTTCGGCCCATGCAATTCACCAGCCACGTTTCAAGCATATATGAATCAAACATTCAGAAAGGAAATTGACGAAGGATGGATGATCGTTTACATGGATGACATCCTAATCTTCTCGAAAACCCTTAAAGAACACCAAAGCCGAACCCGCCGTATTCTTGAAATCATCCAAAAAGAAACCCTCTTCTTGAAACCAGAAAAATGTACCTTCGATGCCCAGGAAGTGGACTACTTAGGAATGATCATCAGACCCGGACAAGTGGCAATGGACCCTGCCAAACTTTCCGGCATCAGTGAATGGCAAATTCCATCCTCCGTAAAAGAAGTCTGATCATTTCTGGGATTCTGCAACTTCTATCGTCATTTCATATCCCACTATTCCGACCTCGCACGACCCTTGATCGATCTAACAAAAAAGGATGCGACATTTACGTGGTCAGAAGCTTGTGAAAGCTCCTTCCAGAAGCTGAAGAAATGTTTCCTTTCTGAACCTGTTCTCCGAAATCCTGACCCCTCGCGCCAGTTTGCACTCGCCACTGATGCTTCTCTCATTGCCACTGGAGCCGTCTTACTGCAGATAGACAAGAACAGTGCTTATCATCCCTGTGGATACCTCTCCCAATCCTTTAACCCTGCAGAATGAAACTATCAGATCTATGATCGGGAACTCCTCGCAATCATCCGAGCCCTGAAAGCTTGGCGCCACTATCTTGAAGGGAACCCACACCCTGTAGTGGTCTTCACAGATCACAAGAATCTTCTCTATTTCCGATCAGCACAGAACCTGATGTGTCGCCAAGCATGCTGGCAATTAACCCTTAATGAGTTCGACCTAGAAATGCATCATGTTGCGGGAAGCAAACTTGCCGCCCCTGACGCCCTCTCGCGCCGTCCTGATCACTCTGCCGATCAAACTGATAATGCCAATATCACACTCCTTCCTGATGAATTATTTGGACGACTCATCGATATCGACCTCGCTACAGCATTGAAACTGCAAAACCCCCTCTCTGATCCCATTATCCTAGCAGCACAACAAGCCCTAGACGGACTCAATGCTCCTCCTATGAAATCTGCACTTTCTGATTGGCGCATTGAGGATAACACACTTTTCTACAAAAACCGAGCCTATGTACCCCCAGATCTCCGACACCGTATTCTGACCCTCCACCATGATCACCCTACTGCCGGTCACCCTGGACGCTTTAAGACCGAAGAACTGGTCAAATGAGATTACTGGTGGCCCGGGATGGGAACCTTCATCCGGAAATACGTCAAAGGTTGCACCATGTGTCAACAAATGAAGTCAGACACACACCCCACAACTGCTCCCCTAAACCCTATTTCCTCCACCGCCTTACGCCCCTTTGCCCAAGTTTCAGTAGATCTGATCACAGATCTTCCCCCGTCAGAGGGCTTTGACTCTGTCATGGTCGTGGTAGACCATGGGCTTATGAAGGGGGTAATTCTCTCACCTTGCAAGAAAACCATCACATTGGAAGGGGTAGCCAAACTCTTTTTCAAGAAAGTTTTCCTCAGATTTGGCTTGTATGACAAAATAATCTCCGATAGAGGCCCTCAATTTGCGTCAAAATTTGCAAAAGAACTTGGAAGACTTCTTGACTACGAAGTCGCCCTCTCTATTGCCTATCACCCTCAGACTGACGGCCAAACTGAGTGGTTGAACCAAGAACTTGAAACATATCTCCACATCTATTGCCGATCTGCCCCCCAAGATTGGGTAAAGCATCTTCCTATGGCAGAATTTGTCCATAATCATCGAAAGCATGACTCCCGAAATACTTCCCCGTTCTTCCTCATGATGGGGTATGAACCCTGAGGAATCCCCTACGCCTTTCCTGATTCTGTGATCCCTGCCGCAGAAGACAGAGTAAAACATCTCCAGAAGATTCGAGAAGAAGCCCTCGCTTGCCATAAACTGGCAATGCAACACATGGCCGAACGATCATTTGGAAAGAAGTTCGAACCCTGGAAACTTAAAGACAAAGTTTGGTTATCGGCTGCACATCTTATCACCCATCTCCCATCAAAGAAGCTCGCACCAAAATGTTATGGCCCCTTTGAAATCGAACAAGTCCTTTCTCCTATCACGTATAAACTCCCCCTCCCCAAATCTTGGAAATCTCACCCTGTCTTCCATGCTTCTGAACTATCATCCTATCGGGAGACAGAGATCCACGGCCCGAACAACCCTGAACCACCCCCTGACCTTATCAATGGACAAGAAGAATATGAGATAGAAGCGGTCCTCGCCCACAAGGGAAACACAAAAGGAAGACACCGCTTCCTCGTGTCATGGAAGGGTTACCCTAGTTCAGAAAACTCGTGGCTACCTGAAAAGGAACTTCAGAACGCCCTAGAAATCCTAAAAACCTATAAAGATCACCTCAAGCTAGCCCGACTTCTCCATTGAACTCTCACTTCCAAAACCAACCCCAGCAAAACAAATCATGTCCTCTTTTCAACTCTCTGAATACCTCAGTCTCGTTGATGAGATTGAAACTGCCGCCCTTGTAGAATCCGCTATACTTTCCCCACAACACGCCATTGAAATAGAACGAATCCTCACTAACAAAGGGGAAGACACAACCTACACCCTTGTCAATATCGTCCGCATCACTAGTCTTTTTGAGACCATCGCTGAGAACATTGACAATGCCGACGCCAAACGAAGCATCCTCCATCTCCAGAGGAAATTGAAATTACGAACCCTCACCCTGCACCTTCTTCTGTTGCACTTCAAAGAAGATGTTTTACAAGCCATACACATTATTGCTGAACGAGTTACAATTGAGGTCGCTGTTCCACCTCTCCCCGCTGCACCCCCCGCTACTCCTGAACCAACTCCCGTACGACCCATTCCTCCACCGCAACACACGCTTAGACGTTCTGAACGACGAAAGAGCTCTGCAAGGACTGCCGCCTCCAAACCCAAGTCACGCTCACCCCCAAAGAACAAAGATCGCTGCTCGCAGGCAGACATCGTAACCCCCCCAAAGTCGTCCCAATCACTACCCCCCACTCCTGCTTCTTACGACAACGTTGTTTGTCGCCACTGCAAAGAAATGGGACATCGTCACAAGAATTGTCCTGCGTATTACTGCAGAGTGTGCCTCATATTTGCACCCAAACACCTGTCCGTCTTTTGCCCTCAGCTCAACGGCGAGCAAATCCTCCCCATGGCATACAACGAAGATGGCTTCTATAATGCCCTTGCTAAATGGGAAGCAGACCAAGACGAACTTGTCGAGCGGATTGAATGTGAAGCGGAGCAACTCGCCAACAAACGAACTGGAGACGACCTGTTGGAATTTCACAATGCTGATGCGGATCTCGTCTACTATGACGATGCGAGGTTAGAAGATTGTTGAAGTTGGAGACTTCAGACGCTAGTAGGGGGGTAATGTTACAGTGGCCCCACCTATTTTCCCATCATCACGCTCCCCTGAACTATTCTTGCTATCGTTGACTGCTTATCAACATGCGCTGCATGAACATTCCAGATACTTCTGTCTATTCTTGTTATCTCTGACTGCTTATCAACATGCACTGCATGAACATTCCAGATAGTTCTTTGATGTTCTTCCTGATTCCTTTTTACTTCCAAAGTCGGCCTGGTCTGTGCCTCTTCTGTTCTCTATAAATACTGCGATAGTTGTACTTGTATTTCTCTAACTTGAATCTACTTGGTTCTCTCTGATACTTGATTATCTTCTGAGGAAGATACTCGATTCCGATCTAGCTCTTATAGAGACTAGCCTATACTCGAACTTCACTTAGAAGGAGAGCCCTTCAAGTGTCTGAACAGAACATCGTAACAAGAAGAACTCCTTTATTGGATTAGTTACGCAAGAACTATCCAAGTCGTAACACATAGTGGTATACTCGCCAGTCCTTTGAATGCCTCGTGTTCACCACCAGAGGCGCTGTACATGATAGTGTCTCGACATCCACGCCATAGTTGGCGACCATACTCTGAACTGCATCCCGATTATAAACGAACCTTGAAGTTCAGATTGGCGGAGTGCATCTGCTGCCCCCATGCGCTGGTGCTGTTTTCCAGCCGTAAGAACTCGTGATTGGTGTTGCCGTCCTCTGAAGCTGTGTGAGATGATTGATTTAGACAGTCCGGTGATCTTGGAAGTGCCTGAGGCACGAGGCATGGAGGCGTGGATGGTATGGGGGAGGCCACAATGGGGCGCGTTGACAACAGAAGGATGGGCAGGCAGTGGAGGTGGTGAGGCGATCAGTTCTGGACAGGGAAAACAGTGCAGGGACTGCAGCTGGGCTCCTACAATGACGACGACAGCAAGCTTGAGTCGGTCTGGACGGGGAAAGCAGCGCAGGGACTGCAGCTGGGCTCCTGCAATGATGGCAACAGCAAGTTTGAGCTACCCTGGGGAGAGGATGACACCGCGGTAGGCATTGAGACTGTGTAGGGCGATGAGGGGAAAGGGCAAGGCGCGTGGGAACACCGGCGCGCCATAGATGGATATAATTAGGTGGGTGGGGGCGGGCAGATTACATACACTGAGCATTACCTCCGAATACCCGCCCCCGCTGTAGATATAGCTGAAGGTCGTAGATGATTTGGGGCAGTATTTAATGCCGGTGTTGAGCTTTAACGCAAGTAAGCCTAATAATAGTTGTCGAAGCACATAATCACCAAGTATAATAAGGCTTACTAATTGGGCAACCCAGGTGTTCACTGGACACCTGTGTGTCACCATAAATGTCACATATTAGTAAGATAGATGTGATGTTGATGTTCGTTACACACCAGCAGTTTCGGAGTTTTGACAAGATTACAATCAAAATGGGGTTGATAAATCAAACATTTTCACTTCAAATTTCGACTTGAGAACAACGAGAAATTTGGATGAACGGGGAAAGGACAATGCAAAGTGGCACATTTCCACAAACATTTTATACTCTGGCTGAGTATTTGAGGTTTTCAGCCAGGGAAAATACTAATATATATGAAGTTTTTGTAACAAAAGGTAAATACAAACTTTTGAGAGCAAAAAAATGTGGTGCAAAATATTATATAACAATAGGTGTTTTGCCACTCTAGAAAATTTTGAATTTGCCCGAAATTTAAACGAGGTTGAGAAAATGCAAAGTTTAAGCAATGGGGAATTGTAGTGGGCATTCGTTGGGCATTCATTGGGCGCTCGCTGGGCATTCAATAAACATTCACACTGAGCACAAGTAACATGTGACGTGTGACACGTTCGAAATCAAACACATAAATCCTACTGTGAATCTGTGATCAACAGACACTCTTACTTTTATTAATGACAATGGCTGAAATGCACGCAAACATAAGTTATTGTTAGCCCGATCACACACGGGGACTGATCCATTGTCTGCAGGAAGTTGACATTGATGAAAATAATCATGTGAGTGATGCTATCGTCTGAGTACACTAATTCTACAAGATTAGCAGGAGTTAGCTGGGGACATTATGGAGGAGCAGGTGGAGGAGCAGGTGGAGGAGGAGCAGGTGGAGGAGGAGCAGGCTGGAGGCATAGAGCGTGGTCAAAAAAGCTTTGCGATAACACCATCCGCAATGGTAAGTCCACTGCTGCTCACCACTGTAAGCGAATTGATGTGTCTAGGTGCTATGGGACTACGCACAGGAGATCATACAAGACGATATGGAACATGGGGAAACTCATCCACATGCGCCACATCCCTCTCACCCCCCCATCCAAATGTCGCATCGTGACAAATGCCTCCTAACATTGATGGTGGAGGATAGGCGTGAAGCGGTGTTCCGACTATGGCAGGAGTTGAAAGAGATGGAGCGTCTATTGGGTTTAGAGCACATTTAGGTGCGGGAGGAAGAGCCGGGGGGTGAGTACTTGCTTGGCTTGCCCGTCTCATCAGCGAACAGCTGCCAATTCTGCTGTGATTTGTATTACCTGGACCGTGCACAACCTGGTCTATGATTGCATTCACAAATTCTTTCTTCTATATTTAGTATGCTGAGCTCCATATGCTGCATGAATGGTACCATGACGTGCCTGTCATGGCACTCACTGCAACCGTGAACAAGTCCGTGATCCAGGACATTCGCACTTGGTTAGGTTTGCACGATCCCATGTGCCTGGTACAGTCTTCCAATTGCCCCAACCTGTACTATGCAGTGCAGCCTAAACCGACCACCAGGAAGAAGGCAGTGCCACGCAGGAAGAATGGCAAAGCGGCAGCTGCAAGATTATCGTAGCAACAGTATTGTTGAGAGGGAATCTAGCCGCATCTTTTCATACTTCATGCTGTCGTCCCGGGTCAGGCGCATCAGTAATAAATAAGTAATTTAGAAATGCATGCCCACCTCCTGTCCAATACAAATGCCCACTAACTTCCATCCCGATAGATTTTCTTAAATTAAACACACGAGTTTCACCCGCCCGCTCACGCCCGATACGCATAGAGAAATTTATAACTATGTACACAATTAGCAGCTGCACCTCAGAGGACTCTTTGCTTCATGTCAGTACCCTCTTCTCATTCTTCTCTGTCAAGAACTCAATCCTATTAGTTGTGAGACCATTGTAAATGTGGGAGAGAGATACACATATGCACATGACACAGACACACGGCAATGATATGCAGCGGGGAGAAGTTCCACTGTGCGAAATGTGACACTACCCACTCAGGCATGACGGCCTCAAGATGGTCAGCGAGCACTGACAAGTGTAATTGAGCCGGGAAGTGAGGATAATGGCAAAAAGGGTCTGGGTAAGAGAGTAGTGGGAGGTGACACCACACAGTGAAGCCCACTCCATGCTTGGTCCTGAAAATATACTTGATGGTTCCTGGTGTTTGCATGTGCATAACACCATCGGGGATAGTAGAGGATCAGGCTGTTGCCCACGTGAGTGTATTCGCGGGCATAGATTGATCCCTTGTGGATTATGTGAGCATGCAAGACTGCTCGCTGAGCTTTGATGAGGCATTGGAGGTCTTCTGGAAGATCTTCTTTAGGTGTAAGAGGTATCGGGCAATCTTCAAGTATAGCATCAACTGTGGGAGATACAAATCTGTCAAATAAAGATTTTACATCCCTAAATATGGGAGGGCAGGAAGGCCGGTTCAGCCAGTATTTCAGCTTCACAGCCTTGATGTACGAGGTAAGGAGAGTTGATTCTTGCTGACCTTTTTAAGAACCACCAATGTTAGAAATCCATCACAACCAAGAAGGTAAAAATAATACCAAAAATGTGGTTGATTGGCAAACACTGCAGCTGCCCGATGAGGCGCTTGTATGGGAAGCACCACCACGACCGCACAGGACCGAAGAGCTGCAAATAGTCCCAGATGTGCGACACCATGTGGCTGTTAGTACGATGGGGTGCATGGGAATGTAAAATCCGTAAGTCTTGTACCCATGCCACAATGTATCCGTAATATGCTTCTGCTCGAGCAGCTGTCATGAATCGCCGACATGCAATATGTACCGCAGAGACAAGGGACATGGTGTGATCGAGGATGGCCCGACAATTGGTTGCAACTTCTGGGGTGTGATGTTGAGATCTTTCTCCCCATAAACTAACCAGCACTATGTGTAAGTACACAGTCGTCAATGTGTGCCATTTGTCAGCCTTCAGGGTTCCAGCTTTTGCTTCTCCAAAGTTATATGGGACTGATCTTAATGAGGACAGCATATCTGTTGTTCGAATGACGTCAACAATGTGTTGCATGACTTCAGGGGTAGTGATGCGCAATTTTGACGATTTGGTAGTGAAAGGCTTGGTTCGACGCTACAAAGCCAATTAAAGCAGCAGATTGAGAAGGTGTATGAGGAGAACACCAAGAAAATTACATACTCAACCAATAAGCAATCTAACCCAGTGGGCCTTGTACACCTTCTTTCCAGGGTGCGTGACATCTGGCCCAATGCCTGATTCCACTGATATGAACTGAAGGCATGCAACCTTCTTCAAAGAAAGCCTCCTCTCCAACTTGGCCATGTGAGTCTCGACAGCTGAGTATCATTGCCCTCCAGGTCAGGAACTGCTGCAGTAAGGAGGTTGTGAATGGACTTCACACTCTTGATGTCTTTCTCGCAAAAGCCTTCAGGCTTCAAGTTGTTAAGATCAATGTCGGAGAAAGCATGATGAAAAGAAGGGAGAGGATCAGACTTTCGCTGTGCTGAATCAGCTGTAAGACCCAAGAATTCGCAGAAATGATTGTGCACAAGGCCCTCCAGTAGACAATGCATGGTATCAACAACGAGTTGACAAGAGGGATCCCAGTACGATAACCTCCAAAGTGTTGACCATCGCACCCCGTATGATGCGAACAACTTGTTGTGTTCAGCAGAAGTGCCAGTGTTCTTCTACAGCTCAGCAAGACAGCGCATTTCATTCTTGTCCCAAAGAACCCAATCTGTAGAATGAATATCGGTTCCACCACAAGTAGACCTGTGCCAGCAATGGCATGCAGTACAATAAAAGTGACTGGTTGGACCAGCTAGCTAGGCGGCCTTTCTCCCCGCTGGGAGGTCGCACACTAAACATGCTATGGCGCTGCGCGTCACCCAACCATGTGCCTGGCGAGCTGTGTGGGAAAAATGTATCCCGCATTCCCAACTTTCTACCAAGTACATGTTTTCTGGCTTGTACCAGATATCGAGGGGGAGGTTCAAGCATCTTTGCGATTCACTCTTGTCGTGTTTAGCAGAGTGAAATTAATCAAGGATACGAGGCTTCGTTGGACTGAGTTTATACAGGATGGAATACTGAATACTGAGGGTGAGATGAAGAGAAAGTATGCTTGAGGTTTTCGGGCGAAAGCGCGCAGCGCTGACCATCCCCAAGGTACGAGTCACAGCCCAAGAAGAGGTGAGCTGCGATTCCCAAGTAGTAGGAGTCCGACGACGCATTGAGCAAAACTCGGATACCCGTTGAATTAGGAGGGGGATGACGGACTCACGTGGATTGGATTCAGCGGACTGGGGGCATTGTGTACCGTAGGAGCTGCTTGTGAACTGGTGAAATGCCTTGCATGAAAGGTGCCATTATCTGCGCGTGATCCCGCAAATATACGAGGAACGCATCGCTTGCCCATCTCCCCTTGGCCTTGACGACGTCAAAGGGCACGTTCCTGAGCAAGTATCCCAGTGTCCCCCCGATTCGAATGCCGTGGCCCTGGACAGGTTCACGCCCTGCCCCTTTGGTGGCTTGAGCGAGCCTGGTAAGGAGCTTGGACTTTGTGAGAGGGCGGTGGGTGTCTTTGAAGCGGTAGGCGAAAAGTGGACCGTTAGTCGGGGGCTGGTTGATGAGGAGGTGGTTGGCGAAGGATTCATCTGGGTCAGCCAACCCTTGCTGCTTTCCCCAGAATATGTCTTCTCCGTCTAAGCTCGTATTCGTGCGGGGGAGGTGGAAGTTCTTCGTAGTCAGGTTCTGACAGTCTTGCACGTCACGAACGTCGGACGGTTTAACATGTATTGCTGGATTGAAAGTGTCGAGCCGAGGAATCGTGAATTCACCCGTTCTCGCCATGGCGAAGAACGTGGTGGTAAGGCAGCTGAAGACGGCTGCGTCTAGAGGGGAATTCAAGTCGAGTTGGCTGTGTATGGCGATAATGAGATCAATGGTGTATGGCTGCCGCTTACTACATTTCGAAGTGGATAGGGTAAGGGTTACCGCTGCTTTGAGGAGTGTGTCTGTTTCTGCGTCGCGGAGTATCCAGGTGATTCCGTGAACGACATGCCAGGCTCGCACTCCGTGTACGTAGTTGGAAACCGTCTTTCCCGAGTAGTGCCCGGCCATGCACGATATGAAGGATGATATTAATACGCGGCTTGCTGGCGCTCGCTGATCTTCTGGGATGAGCTTACTGTCACAGAATATGTGGAATACCAGTAATCCGGACCCGTAAGACTCCCGTGTTGAGTCCACGTATCCTTGGATCACCACGTCTTTGATGTGTTGCAGGTCGGCTGAGGATAGGGAGACCAGTTTGCCGCGGGCATCGAGGCTGGTGCGTGATGTGGTGGGGGTCCATAAGTATAATCTGTCTTTGGCTGGGCAAAGAGGTCTCAATGGGGAAGGATTGGGGGCTAAATCATGAGCGTAGGCTGCTAAAGTAAGTGTGTCGTTATTGGCCTCGTTTCGAGGCGGTTGACCTTTTTGACTTACTAGATTTCGGATGCTTGGAGGAGCTCCTCGCCACGGCGTTCGAGCTCGCGGTTGATGTGGGCACGCTGCTGGTACTCGGCTGTGTTGATGCTCTTGACCAATTTGTGAAACGGTTTGCCTGAGGCAGCGCGCTGTCTCGTTCTCTCGTTGGCTGTTGAATCAGAGACGTCTGCGATGAACTGTTGCAGCTCTTTGGGGAGGGGAATGCGGGGAAGCATCTGACTTGTGGGGGGATATACTCCTCGCGACGGATCGTCGGCTGGGTTGTCTGTGCTTGGGACATATCTTGTAAGAACCGTGCAGTCGGCACTAGTGAGGATGCTATGAACGTGTTTGAAGACCTCGTTGCTGGGGCGATTCCTGCTGCATCCTTTCCACCATCCCTCGACCACTTCCCGATTATCCCCGTAGACCTTGAAATGAACTCCGGAGGTCGCGGGAGAAATGATCGTTCGGACGAGCAACTCGAATCCGACGCTTTCGGCCCAGCCGATGTTGCGTCCGTCCTCTTTCCATCCAGGGAGTAGATCCCAAGCCCTCCATCGACCATTGATGACGATTCCGATCCCGTGGCCAGAGCTAGCGTCCGAATAGGCATGAACATCGTGGATTGTGCGTGGACCGGGGATTGGTCTTGGAATGAGCGGTGAGCTGAGGATGCTGGTCCACCAAGAGATGTCCTCTTGTGTTTGGTGGGGTGGGGTGCGTGGCATAAAAGGGCGGTCGCCAAAAACTCCCAGCATCCTCTCCAGATTGGTAAGGTAGGCCCTACCACTGAGAATAACCAGTGTAGCGTGCATGAGTTTGCCGTATAACTTCTGGACCTCGTGTAAGCTGTGTGTCCGCTTGGATTGCCATTGCCGTAACGCCTCGAGGTACTTGAGCCGTTTCTCGTCGGAGAGATTGACAGTTTGGTAGGGCAAGTCGAACACGAGGCCGATGAAAGGAGGATGGAAGCTGAAGGGTTTGTCCTTGGACAGTTCCCAGGGGATGCCCAGAGGTCTTGAGGCCCAGTCAATGTCGTCCATGTTGTACGTGAATTCAGCGTCGGTTGCCAAGCGTGGTGAGTCGTTGGCGAAGTCCTTGAAAGGGAATGATGAATCTTTATTGAACTCCTCCGGTGATCTGTCTGGTTGCGTGGCACTGTGGTACCATTTGCAACCCCCATTTGTAACAATACCTCCATTCTTCGCGATCTCGGCTGCTTGAGATTGGCGTAGCTTGTTGTAGTTGTCCAGGAATTCCCTTCGTATGCGAAAGAATAGATGGTCGTCGACCCACTTGGAGTGGGCCAATGCCTTTGGCTCGAAAAATGTCAGCGCCGGCGTCTGCAATATTACCGTATATACCTGCTGAAGGACCGAACCCGAAACAGAAAGCTGTATCGACGGCGAAAGTGTCGTTGCCTGGGAGGCGTACTGCAAGTCCTGCCCATTGCGAGTGATGGACTGGTACCGTTCGGTATGCTTCAGCAACATCGCGTACCACACCTTGTGACCCTGGCGGCAGACGCCAGATGGTGAGGCAGATCGTTGCGAACGTGCTGTACGTGCACGGATATAAGTCTGAGTCGATTCTAGAGTTGATTGATTGGATGCTGGGGGGGGGGGGGATATTAAGAGGGTAGGACAGGTTCTGAACCAGGCGGTATTTGCCCGGCTTTCCCGGTTTAGGTACAAGGGAGAGGGGCGCCGTTTGAAACGGCCCGATGATCGACTCGAGTTCTTTGCTAGCGAAAGGCCCGAGGAAGCGTCTCTTTTCGAACTCAGTATTGACAATTTTCCAGAAAGCTTCGGAGTATTCATTAATGCTAGGGTTATTAGGTGGGGCGTATGTACAATTGATCGGGGGAATGCCCCCGGAAAGGCCTGTTCGCAGTCCTTCTGGAATGTTTGGGTATCTACTGATGAGTCTGGTTTGCTCGAGGACTCGCTGCCACTCTTCGGGATCATAGGGTGTGATGGCTTTAAGCCTTCTCGCCGCGAGAGCATTTCTGAGCTCCATGCTCTCTGCTCCCGCATCCAGAGCACTCGTGCAGGTGATCCTGCGAGTCTGCGGGACATCCCCCCGGTCTCTGCCATTTGCAGCATAGTGACAAGCCGGCGGGGTTGAGTATGTGTCCATCTTGGGATCGTCAAGCGTGCGCCGCTGATCCATCCCACAGCTCGGTTGCGCTGCATTGTAGGATGTTGTGCACGAAGCAGCCGAGGCATACGGCGCAGGCAGATCGGCCTCGACTGCCTGCGCCACGGGGAAAATTCTGCTTGGTGTTGCTTGATGAGTGTTGCTTGTATTTTCCCCCGTCGGGCGATGATGAGACCTTGATTTTCTGCTTGTTGTTGGGGCGAGGGGGAGAACGGGATCGAGAGTTGCGCTGTGGGTTTCTGTGGGTGTCACGTAACTAGATCTTCGATGGTTCTGGCTGGACACAGGTTCGGTGTTTGTCTGCTTGACGTTGGGTCGAAGCGAGGTATGGGAGGCATTCGTGCATGTGGGGAGGAGAGCAGCATCCACATGCACGAGGAATGAATTTCGTCCGTGAGCGAATGTACGGGCATCCGCGATAGCGGGGAGTGCGGATGATCACGAGAGTGATGTATGTGTGAGTGCGTTTGAGCGAGAAAGAAGATTTATTGTGTTAGCATATATTCAATTTTATAAAACTCATTTGCACCCACCTGAAGCATCTTGGCAGAGCGTACTTTGTCCCAAAGCTCGTCGTTGATTGAACGTATGAGGTTCTCATTGATAACTCCAATGTTGAAAGCTTCGTCCCGCTTGAGGCGGTCGTGCCCCGCTTGAGGCGGTCGTGCCCCGCTTGAGGCGGTCATGCCAATCTTGGCGGACACGAGATGTGTAGTGCAGGACGACGAGGTCGCCGATTTCGCTGTTGTTTCTGATTGGGTGGTTTTCCAGGTGCCAGAAGAAAAGGGATAGGGCGTCTATGTTGCCTTGAGGCCATTTTGCTTTGCTAATGTGCGTTAGAAAGGTGTTTTTGGCGCGTAGGAAGGTTAAGAACGACAGTTCGTGGTCAGGGATGGAGTGTTTCGACGCTTTGAAGGCAGAAAGCGGGCGTAACACTAAGACGGTGTTGTCTACCTGGGTAAGGCCGTAACCGTCCTCGGCTGTGGATTGAGAGGAACGCTGGGTGTCCTTGCACCCTTCAGGAGAGAAGTACCAGAGTTCTGTGTACTCGAAGTTGTTGATCTTGGAGATGGCGTACTGGGCGGGATGCAGGGTGATGAAATCACCGACGGTGAGAGTGGCGTTGAAGCCATTCATCTTGGGTTTTTTCTTCTCGGTGTCCAGGTGTTCCTTCTCTGCCTCGGCTTCTTGCTGTTCGCGAATCTCTTCCTCTTGCTGTGCGCGTGCCTGCGCGACTTCAGCAGCATTGCGTTCCTCTTGCTCTTTTTCTTGGTTCCATTCTTCTACCCATTGGCGGTGACTCTGAGTCCAGCTTACTACCATCCGGTTGGTGACCTGGTCCTCTGTCTGACCAGAGGCTCTGATGAGGTCTTCTCGGATCTCGGCGTACGCAGCGGATGCGAAATCAGGGCAGACTTCGTTGTTGGGGTCGGCCATGTTTGGGAGTGGATCTTAGATATGTCTTTAGACTTAGAATAAGAATAAAGAAGAATTAAAGAATCGATGAGCACGACTTAGTGAATGACGATGGAAATCGATGGTCGTGGCACGGAAGCAAAGATGCTGTGCCACGCCTTCTGTTTGCGCAAAGACCATATTCTATTCCTACGCTCGTGCCTCGCTACGTAATAGAATTGCAACGCATAGGAGATTATTCCCGTGGAAGTCGATGCATTCTGCTGAACATTGCCTTCAATGTTGAAGAAATCAATGTTGAGCGTGAAAGTGAATCAACCCTCACTGCCTCTGTCGATAAATAATGATTGCATGGGACCCTCGAAATTGCGAAAGAAGCCGGCGTCCCAGACATCTTTAATGATACGCAGTGGTGCGCTCCCAATTGACAATAGCAAATCATCGCAAGGCCTATCCATTATCACTTCCAGGTCGGGACGAGACAGCAGTCCAGCGAGGTAGTTGTGGAAGTGGTGATAAAAAACAGTTTTTATTGGCTCTAGTTGCCCACCAGGGGAGCAACACTGTTACAGTGGCCCCATCATTTTTCTCATCATCACGCTTCTCTGGTCTATTCTTGCTATCTCTGACTGCTTATCAACATGCACTGCATGAACATTCCAGATAGTTCTTTGATGTTCTTCCTGACTCCTCTATTTCCATAGTTGGCTTGGTCTGTGCCTTTCCTGTTCACTATAAATACTGTGATAGTTAAACTTGTATTTCTCTAACTTGAATCTACTTGGTTCTCTCTGATACTTGATCATCTTCTGAGGAAGATACTTGATTCCGATCTAGCTCTTGTAAAGAGACTAGCCTATACTTGAACTTCGTCTAGAGGGAGAGCCCCTCAGATGTCTGAACTGAACATTGTAACACATTGAACTCCTTTATTGGATCAATTACGCAAGAACTATCCAAGTCGTAACAAACACAGTAACAGTTTGTCACAAGGAACATCTTCGGGTTTTGGTCTGTTGGAACAATTGGGGGGGGGGGGGGGGTAATGCGCATTACTGTAATTGAGATTGGCCTTCAGTTTGAAGGTGCAATTGCATGCAGGACAGACCGCGTAGGTAGTGGTCTGGCCATCAAGCTTGAAGCGTGAAAGGGCGGCCTCCATCATTCACGGGATCTGAGAGTGTGTGTTTTGTCAATGAGACTCGGAATGGGGGGTTTGTGCATCCATGGCAAGGCTCAAGATTAGGTAAAGGACACCCATCAGGAACTCCTCATGTCTGCAACCGATGCCGAAAATGTCAACGGAAACGGCTTCCAGAAAAAGGGATACCTGGGCAATCTCGTCGGAATAGTCAATAGGCAAATCTTAATGATGTGCTTGCCTTTATGTTAGTGGGAAGGACATAATGTTAGAATAAACAAAACTCACAAGAATCAAATTCAACTGGCTCAGACGACATGAGAAGCCCATCTTCCTTCCTGAAGATAAGTTTTTGCATCTCGTCACACAATGTCTCTAGTTGAGTCTTGTGAGAGACTATAGCGGAAACCTTGTGCTTCACTTTCACGAGGGTCTTGATTGTCGCAGCCAGGTCATTTCAGATGGACCACAACATATCACGAGACATTGCACGGGAAAGGTGAATGCAAGCCCTTTCCATCTGTGACTCCACCACATTGAAAGTTACTTCAGCCCTTGACCAGAGCCACATCTCAGCAGCCTGGAGGGCGCGGGCGATGTGTCTGCGAAGCGAACTGTTAACACACACATGAGATCACTCACTGAGTATCGTTGACAGTGAGTTCAGCATCCAGGTAAGCCTTTCCCTTGTCCTGTTGAACTTCAGAACACAAAACCTACAATTTGTGGTGGCTATCTGAATCAGTGTCGTCATCGGTTAGGGTGATGGCGAATAATTCAGCGGCGAGATCGTCCACTGGCATTGACATGTCGGACTGATGCATTGGTGCTCGTGTTTGAAATGTCGAGGGGACAGTGGCTCGCGTTCTGGGCTGGTCTGGAGAACAGCTTGACGAGCGAGATGAAGTATGGAACTTTCACGTTCGAATGAGGGCAAAATTTTGACAGTGTGCGCTAAATGTATTGAGTGACGTCGATAAAGAGATAGCGAGGAACAAACACTAATCCTCAGTTCGGCAATTCCCACAGTCTGCGCCACTGTCAAGTGTCAGATCGCACTTTGAATATGTCAAATAAACGCACTGTATGTTCTCTCGTACAATATATCAATTTTATTCCAGATGGAAATTTATAGTATATATCACATCATCGTAGAATTAGCGTCTCAGTCCTGTCCTTACTGACTAGAGACTGAGATATAAAACCTTTAGACCCGCTCCCTCATCGCCCATAACCTTAACAAAATGCACATGTTTGATGGCAATGGACAGATCTTTGCCACCGGGATTTCTAGGCACACCGTCCACTCTGACATCACAACATTGTGCACATTTTCAAGGAAAAGTTCAACTAGGCATCTAAATAAACTTTAGATGATCAAAAAAGAAGCTATCGATGATCTTACCTCGATTAAATGGGAAAGTGGTGAGTGTTTAAGTACTGGAAAAAGAGTGAGGATTAAGGAATTATGTCAAAGACAACAATGTACTTACCAAAGTACAATGTTCGCCCAGGAGATTCCAAGTTGTTGTAAAATACTGTTCATTTCAGTCGATGCCACACAGCGCCTGCTAGTGGGCGCTCACCTGCGAGCAATTCAGACAATCACAACCAAAATATAACAAGGGGGCTGACCATAAGTAGTTAGCACTTGCACCGGATGACAGGGAGATCACCATCAGATTATGCATCATCTCAGCGAGTCTGCATGCTTTCAATCAATAATATCACGATTAAAATCAGAAAGTCACTTACCGTTTGTGGTCTGAGATCAATTTTGTCCATTTTTGCTGCTGGAGGTCTTCATCACTAACTTCACGCCCTCATCCTTGGAGAACAACACGACCTTCATTCACAATGTCTTTAGTCTGCAAAAAAACGGGTATAAATAACAATGCTTGTTGATTAATTTTTCGTCAATGCCACTCTATGTCATATTAGAAGTCTTCTACAACTATTGTACAACTACTACTTGAAATACAATGGTTGTAGACTAGAAAACAACATTGTGGTCGGAAGAGAGAGGAAGGCGTGCCTAATGTAGTGAATGACTACATAATCAAGCTCCACCACAATTTTAGGCTCAGCACCCACTCTTGAAATATTATGTAATCAATACATACTCATGACATCTGCAATTAATATTAATGTTTCCTCCGGAAAAAAAAGAGCGTTGGGGAGGAATAGAAGACTGACAACTTGATGAATTAAGATGTCACTGGTGATTTTGAATGGTTGACTGTTGACTCCAAAAGTGTCTCATTCATGTGATTGGTCGGTCATGCATTGTAACAGTGCTAGAGAACATGTGTAAAGGTATTGTAGGTATATGTAAATGGAAATGCGGAATCAAAATGTGTAATGCGGTACATGAAGATGTCAAGGACTAAAATGAGAATGTAGGTGCTTGAGATCATCCAGGCCAGTCACCAATAGAGTCCCATCACCAACTTCTGATGAAACACCATGCAGGCTGGGCACTCCACTGTCATCGTCTGACTCAATATCATGTAACTTGCGTTTCTTGCCAGTTGGGGTGACTTCTACCCACGCAGAGAGTATTGACTTTTTGATCATGCGACCTGCTGCTGGCTTTATCAGAAGTACTGCTTGTTCCACAGCAGGGTCTTCAGGCCAACCAGGTGCTTGAAGGTGTTTGTCGTAAAGTTCAATAACAGTGTTGTGCGAATGTACAAGCTTCATCCCCATCTCTTCACACCTTTCAGTCTTATGGTACTGCATAACCTGTTGATAGGACGTGTACATTGACCTGCAAAACCAGGTGTACAGGACACCGGCCGGCCAATGCACTGCCTGTATAGGCCAGTCATGCAGAACCTGTGCAGGCCGGTGTCCTATATACAGAATGATATCTCTGCACTGCCTGTATAGGCCGGTCATGCAGAACCCTTGCAGGCCGGTGTCCTACATACAGAATGATATCTCTGCAGTATCTGTGTAGGCCGGTGATGCAGACCCTTGCAGGCCAATGCCTCAGCCAGATCATGATATCTCTGCACTACCTGTATAGGCCGGTGATGCAGAACCCTTGCAGGCCGGTGTCCTATATACAGAATGATATCTCTGCAGTATCTGTGTAGGCCGGTGATGCAGACCCTTGCGGGCCAATGCCTCAGCCAAATCATAATATCTCTACACTCCCTGTATATGCTGGTGATGCAGAACCCTTACAGGCCAATGCTCCATATAGAAAATATATCTTTTGCTGATGATGTAGGACCCCTGCAGGTTCATGCCTCATATAGAGAATGATATTTCTATGCTACTTATATAGGTCAAACCAGAATATTGAAGTAGATCTGGCCAACCTGCACCCTCAATATTTATGCAGGCTGTCCTAAATGCTCTAATATCAAATGAGATTCCATACAGGAGTAGGTCTAGCCAACCTCACTCATGTAATAAAACATATATCTCATATGGGATAATATAAATGGTGACTGAACAAAAAACAAAAATACAGTCTACTTACACTCCTTATGTCGTATGGGATAGTATAAATGGTGACTAAAATAAGTAGCATAGAAATATCATTTCCTATATGAGGCATGAACCTGCAGGGGTCCTACATCTATCCCATATGAGATATATCTTTTGTTACATGAGTGAGGTTGGCTAGACCTACTCCTGTATGGAATCTCATTTGATATTAGAGCATTTAGGACAGCCTGCATAAATATTGAGGTCTACCTACACTCCTTATGTCATATGGGATAATATAAATGGTGACTGAATAAAAAATAAAAATACAGTCTACATATACTCCTTACAGGTGACTAGGGAAGCTGGCTTAATGAGCCAATATGTTATTGATTGGCTGGCCGCCCATGGCCTACATACTGCACAGACTGGCTGGCCCAATGGGCCAATATGTTATTGATAGGCCGGCCGCCCATGCTTCACATACTGCATGGACTGACTGGCCCAATGGGCCAATATGTTATCAGTAGCCCGGCCGGCCATGTCCTACATACTGCATAGACCGGGTGGCCCAAAGGCCCAAAAAGTGTTCAGTAGGGCAGCCACCCCTGTTCTACATCCCGTATAGGGCAGCTGGCCCACTAGGCCAATATAATACCAGTAGGTCGGCCGGCCATGGCCTACATGCTGCACAGACTGGCTGGCCAATAGTCCAATAAGGTATCAGTGGGTCGGTCATTCCATCTATGCATCCTGCTAAAGTATTGTCAGTGCTAACATCAATGTTACTCAAAAAGACATGAAAATCCAGTTACACCACATGGAGGTCATACTAGTGCCTCGTTCTCACATCCAAGCATCATACTCTCGTATTCATGGCCCGCCTGTCACTGCTTTTAGTGTACACCACATCACCCACTGAGTTTACAATGTAAAAGGGTACAACTCATTGACACACCATGTCAGCCAGCATGGTGTATTAACTTTTTTTAGTATGATGCACGTGGGCCTTTGTATGATAGTGTTAAGGTGAAGCAAAGGGGGAGATGAGATGTGTATGAACACAATAATAAAATATCTAAGGTTGTAAAAATAGAATTTCTGAAGAGGACAAATCTTCGTAGTGTTCAAATAAAAAGCTAGGGGATTTGGTTATTTGTGTGGGAAGGGCTGGGTTTTGCTTTGGCCGGGTGATGTTTTTGCTCGGTGTCTATAAAGCTCGGAGTTTCCTGAAAGCACGTTATCGAGAAGAAAAGGACTCGGATCGGGAGGAGAAAGAACCAGCTCTTCAGAGCGCTTAGTGATTTAGTATCAGGTAGATGTTGAGTGCGAAGAGAAAACAATACCAAACGAGCAGCTCACCACAGTAGCATCTCCTTTGGAGACCAACCCACACATTTAGAGATGTGATTTGCAAGAGGACAGTATGATTGCAAGAAATGATGTGCGCCCGTAAGCTAATAGTAGGAAAGATGATCTGATTAAGAGGTAGGGGCAGAACATGAAGGACACTGTTGTTGCACATAAGAGTCCATGACAGTGCCTAAACTTGACATGCGGTCTTGGTCGATGGATGATGATATAAAAAGAGACACAATGGTCTCAATCCTACGCCAATACTCCAAGAATGAATGTGAGGTCCATCTGCCCTGTGAGGAGCCAATGTCCGGATGCACACCTTGGAGCAGCATTTCCGTAGTGCCGTCAATGCAAAAGGCATGGCCAGGCATGGGTGGAAAACCCTACGAGGTCCAAACATTGTTGCAGCAGGAGATGAATTCCTGATGTGTCAAAGGTGACCAACCCGTAGGTGTGAGGTAAGCGAAGAGAGGAGCATCAGCTGGAAAGTTGGTGTTGACAATGGTGTGCTATTCGAGAGCAGCTAGAGGGCAAGTGTGATGCGGACGAGCAGTGATAGAAATGACGGCGGCTTCCTCTTTCACTGTCTTGGTCCATGGAATGTGGAAAGATGCAGCACAAGAGGAGTTGGGAAGAATAAAGATGGAGAGAGGTAGAACTGAACATGAGACGTGCTTGAGTGGGTCAAAAAGATTGGGGCTCGGTATGAGGAGCTCACCCAGGCTGTGAGGAGGTGAGTTGTATGAGAGTGAGTATGAGATGGATATACTGATATCACCCACCCATTTCTTGGATGGTTTGATATTGAGAACTCTCCAAATTGTGACAGTAGTGTCGGCTACTTCGCCTTGAAGACCCTTGTGATAGACAATAAGGTAATGTTTGTGTGTGGGAAGGCACAGGATGCCTCGGTAAGCAGCTTCAATATCTAAAGTGGCGAATTGAGCGCCTGCTGGAGTGTCTTGTATTATGTCTGCAAACTCGCCTGCTGTGCCCCATTCTGTGGGGTACTCGCTGGCTTCAATCTCATCGTTAATGGATGTACTCATAAAGCTGCGATAAGATAGGCGACAGCACACTCAATATTTGTTGGGGGTACCATCAATACCCTTTTTGATGACAATTTGGAGATGAGAGGAGCGGAAATGGCAAAGACAGGGAGATCCACACTAATTTTCTTGGGATGACTCAGTGCCCACTCCTCAAGCAGATGGAGCTGTAGTGCATGTCTCAATTTTGGATGTGCAAAGAGAACATGACTCTTCTCAACTTTGTAAAATTCAGTGAAACTACGTGATGCCGTCACCATCTCGGTTGCAGAGGACACTGTGTACTGACATTGGGAAAAGTGAATTGGTAAGGGAGGAGCTGGATGATATCAATGATGTAGTATCCATCTTGCTATTATCTAAATCTCCAGATTCAGATGTAAAAGCCCGAACCACTACTCTCATCCCACTTGTCAAGTCCTTCAATCATGATCTTGGCTAATTTGAGGTACCAAGCTAGTTGTAAATCCATTTGTTTGGTCTGTAGTCCTTGCAGGATGTGCTGATGCGCTGATGTACAGTGGCTCAAAAAAGTGTCCGGATGTTTGTGCAATTTTGAGTAATTGGATCATAGCAAGCCAGCACCTAAATATAACATATTGGTATAGGGACATGTCTGAAAGCCCTACATCATGGCTCGAATCTGAGCTATGTATCGTGGGAACAAACCCTTATATGGGCAAGATATGGTAATTCTATTCTTGTGACTCATTCGGACACTTTTTTGACTTTGTGTTAAACCAATCTTATTGTATGATTCTAGTACTTTGTGTTGCCTCCCTTGGCTTTAATAACTGCTGCAACCCTTCTAGGCATACTTTCTATCAATTCCTGATACTCCTCTTTGGCAATTTTTGCCCATTCTACTGCAACTCTCTCCCATAGTTCAAATAGCCCCTTTGGAGGATCTTGATAGGCAGCAAGTAGTCTCTTGAGTAATTCCCAGAGATGTTCAATGGGATTGAGGTCTGGGGACTGTGCTGGCCATAATAGAACATTGATGTCATGGTCTTCAAACCATTTTGTGGCCAGCTTTGAGGTATGCTTGGGGTCATTATCTTGTTGAAAGATAATGTCTTCTTCATTAATTCCTGACTCCTACATGCTTTTGAGTAGACACTCCTCTAGGATGGAGATGTACTGCTCTGCATTCATCCTTCCCTCCACCTCACAGAGAATCCCAACACCATTCCACCCCATGCAGCCCCATACCATCATACTTCCTCCTCTAAACTTCAGTGTACCCTTAACTTCTCTTTCTCCTAGGGGTTCTCCTGCCTTTTTCCACACATATTCCTGACCATCTGACCCCATTCTATTGATTTTTGTTTCATCTGACCAAATAACCTTCTTCCAGTCTTCCACAGTCCAATGCTGGTGCTTTAAAGCAAAGGCCAATCTTCTCTTCCTATGAGCTCCTGAGAGAAGAGGTTTTTTCTTCTTGGTTACAGCCTTGAGATTGGCTGCCTTGAGGGTGTTTCTGATTGTTTGGGTGGAGACAGGAGTAGAGATAATGGAATTGATGAACTTGGTGGCTTGTACAGCATTTGAAGCCTTGCCAGACAGAATTTGATGAACAACAGCTCTTTTGTTTTGTAGGGTAAGCTTAGGAGGACATCCCATTTTGACATTTTCCTTATCTGGTATGTTCTGCTTCATAACTGTAGCAATAGTAGACTTGCCAAGACCAGTTTTGGAAGCAATGTTCCTGATAGATAAACCAGAGGTATAAAGAACAAGGATATTATCCTTTTGAGCAGAGGAGATGGGCTTCATGATGAGTATGTTAAATTTCATGATCTTATGTGGGTTTATATATTTAGATAATATTAAAATCAGACCATATTAATATTATGGTACCACTTTCATTAAGATTATTATGTATGAATGGTCTCATTTTGTGATTTCAATATAAAGTCAAAAAAGTGTCCGAATGAGTCATAAGAATAGAATTACCATATCTTGCCCATATAAGGGTTTGTTCCCACGATACATAGCTCATCAGATTCGAGCCATGATGTAGGGCTTTCAGACATGTCCCTATACCAATATGTTATATTTAGGTGCTGGCTTGCTATGATCCAATTACTCAAAATTGCACAAACATCCGGACACTTTTTTGAGCCACTGTATGAGGCATGGTTATTGATGTTATTGGTCGAGTTGTGATTGTACTTTGTATTGATCTTACTGAAGATCAGTTTCGGTGGAGCTCAAACATGGCTAGAAACCTTTGCGTTTTACATGTGCTATTGCTTTTATTTTACTTTCATATTTTAGCTTTAAGGCCTATTATTACCAAAGAACAAGTTGAACAAATAAGCTCACCATATCAAACACATCTTGTAGCGCAGCATCTATGAACTCCTTATGTGTGATATTCCTTTCATCAGCAGAAGCTAATGCCTTGTTGAAGGCAATCTACAATAGACGATGACCACCTGGCATCCACGTGGTAGTGCATACCATCTTGGTATGAATTATATTGCAGCAGACCATGAGCTGCTGTTTGGTGCTCCATTTGGCTAAAACTTTGTGCAAATGAGCTATGATAAATCGCTGTAATGCTAGGGAGTGTAAAGTGATACTGTCCAAAGCTTTCTAAAAATTCTGGACTCTGCTCAGCAGTATCTGGCTTTGATGCTGGTGTCTTGACATGTGTTGACATGTTGAGTAGATAGAAGTGAAGTTGAGGGGTGTAATTTTGAGTAATTGGAAGGCTGGATTAATCTTAACTTACTTACAAATCTAGCCTGAGACTGTACAATATTCTGCACCACACATATGGCCAGAAAACACAACAGGTCAAAGAATATTTTAAGAATGCACTGTGCCTCTGACGCCATGGCCCTTCCAGAACCAGTAATGATGCAGCATGCCTGGGCACAATATCTCTATTGTCAGACTGGAACCTCATTTGCTTCTGCGTGCTATCAGAGTCCGACATTTCCACAGTCCAATTCTGAATAGCACTACTTTAGGAATAACCACTGCAAAGGAGCTAGAGGCTGGCATACCTATTTCATTTCAGGGGAGCTCACTGAACAGGCATGCTGGTAGCACCTATATAAATACACAGGTGCACCTTGACCACACCCTTGACCTGTGCAGTTGACATCATCATGGCTCATAGGCCCAGCAGTAGCAGCATCAATTAAAAATAATTCTGCAGTGTTATCAAAATCAGATGTACATGAATCAACAATTTCTGAGTCAGAGGACATGGCAGAATGTAATTCTACCTCTCTTGAAGGTGAGGGTAATATATGCTTCCTGATCTCTTGCAGTTTACATCACCAATAGCTTCAATTGAATGGGGAAGGTACAGCAATATTTCTTGCACAATGAAAGTAGTTGGATGGGTCCATGTATTCCCATCTCATGCTGTAAGGCATAAATGGCTAAGGATTCTGGCTGTAGGATGTCTGTGCCATGCAAGTTATTTACACATACTGCAGTGACCTAACTCCATCTTAGACGGGCTAGCCGAGGTACATAATATCCCATCCTAGATGAGCCAGCAGACCATGGCTGATGTGATAATGTCCTCATTGAAGATGGGTAGGCCAAGGGAGGTATCACAACATTTGACACTCAAGTTCCATACCCGACCATTAAGTACCAAGCACCGAGCACCGAGTACCAGGTACCAAGTCTCAAATATCAAATACCAAGTCTCAAGTGCCAAGTCTCGAATGCCGAGTGACATATACCAAGTACCAATGTGCAGAATGAAATAGAAGAATGAGTGGTTGGGGGAGAGTAGGACAGATAGCGAGCAGAGTCTAATGTGATATTCAAACTAAGGAAATACTACGAGTGTACAAGAGTTTATATACTATAGGATCTCCGACAGATTTCTGGCCGAAGCACAGTCAACGGAACATAAGGCTATTTACGAAATAGACAAGGGAAATGAATAGACTGCAGACAATCAAGAATGGAGCCGGATATTAACTGAACAAAGGGAACAAGCTAAAATGAATCGGAAATGAAGATATTGACTGTCAAGAAGATCTGGACCTATAGGGGGTTTAGGGGTAATATATTTTAGACTGGGTCCGAGGAACCGGGTGGATCGGACTGGACAATAAGGTTCAGGAACAGAATATGACAACAGCCAACAAAGGATGAAATGCAACATTCATAGAAGATTACATGTGCAATGATGAGTTCAAAGGCAGCAGAGGGCCTTGTGCACGTGAGCTAGTAGGTATATTAGACAATGAGATGGTTTAATTAAAATGCAAGGCATTTGTGTGTGATGCTTTGGAAAGAGTGATAGTCTCTTCGACAGTCTTGTGCTTCCAGTTAACTATTTCCAATGACAAGCCTGTGAAAGAGTGTGAGCATGCAGGTATCAGATGATATAGACCCACAACCCATCTGTTACAAATATCCTTTCAAGCAGTTGACACAAGTCCTGGACATGATCATCACAGCAAGAAACAACAGATGGTGAGGGAGTGTGACATAATATGAGAAACTTAAGAAAATAGTCAATCAAATAAGGTGGATCCAGAATAGATGGAAATGTGTGCTAACAACATTGATGATTAGTCGCACACAACTCAATGTCCACAAAATGTACTCATACCTGGCTTATACAATATGATTTAGTAGATAAGTGTATTGACTTTGGTTAATAGTGTATGGTAGGTATTGTGTGAAATATATACCTAATACAAACAGGTGGGCCCATCACAAGTGTATATCTGATACCAACAGTCGGCCCATAGTATGTAAGTGTAGTAGACAAGTGTAGACTTTTATATTGACTGTGGTAGGTAGTGTATGAAGTATGTACTTAATACGAACAGGTGGGCCAAGTGGGTGGCATATCAAGGACAGAATTGGATTGACTTTTGGTTCTGTAAGTCCTGCAACTATCAAAGAGAGGCATTAGAAAGCACACCTTATTGATTACTTTAATACCATCATTTGATTTCAATACAAAAACTTACATGGCATTTGCAGAATTGTCTTGCTGCCATTTCACTTTATAGGCATTGCCTTTCAATATGATTGTGGGTGTGGGATGTTTCATCAGCGCAGATTGTCACAATGACAGTAGTATTTTCTTGACTTCCAGTCCGCTGTTGATACTAGAGACCAGGCTGACACCTGCTGATGATGTACCCATGCATTCCCAATTGAGGTGAGATACCTGTTTCATCCACACCATAAATGCAATCCTCATCAATGCACTTATCTTCCAGTACTTCACCTAGGAGTTTGTACTACTCTCTATTGGTGTTTGGATTGATGGCATGGCCACACTTGGAGTCCAATGACCGTAAACATGAAGTTTTGAGTTGGTTTGCATGTCTCCGGATTTGAGATGCTGCATGGTGGTATTGACAGACATCTTGTGCATTTATGGAGCCCGCATAGGATGATATTTCAATTGTAGCTCATATACATGATCATTATGACAGGTGGAAATGATTGCTTCCTACTCCGCTTGGCCTTTGGAGCTTTAGCAACCACTGCCTTGCTCCCGGTTCTCCTAGCTGGTGTGGCGCTGTTATGCATTGTCACATCCCATTAGTATATGGGCCCAATGCCCTGCCTTTTACTCCACCAAACTGAACTCGGCTCAGAGAAATTATTCTGTCCACCAATAGGAGATGGTAGCAGGAGTTGAAATGATGCTACAACATTGTGATATCTTACAGGGGGCTTGCTTTGTGTGGCTCATTGACCATAAGGGGCTAATTCACTTGTTAAAGCAATAAGAGATGATATTATGATGTTTGAAAATGCAAAGATATCAATTTATATTTAGTAAATGAATAAAATATAAATATTATTTAATGACACATACTGACACTACTGTCACTACCAGGTCTTTTATATCATATAATAAACTCACTAGAGCATAGACTGAAGCAAAAAGAATTCAAGATACACCAATATTCATACCGTCTAATACACAATATTTCTGTGCTTCAAAATGTTTTATAAAGCATCAACACATATAAGGCATCCAGCATTACAATTTAATATCTACAGTTGGATATTTAGGCCCAACAGACAAATGTATTTCTGGATTCCCTATTAACCTACATTCAAGTTCAAAAACATCTGAAATATATTTAGGATGCTGCTATTTATATAGGTTCATCCACTCCACCCTTTGTTTATGTCTGACGGGTTTAATCATGTGATTACTAAACCAAGACAAAAGGAGATTGTCAAAGTATAGTACACTGCAGTTTTTTGGCGTCAAATACCATACTGGACAAAGGAACACAAATCACTTATTAACTTTTGCTTTACATCTGAAGGTGTGGGAAGTACAATAAGCTTTTCCTAAGATTATAAGAGATACAAGGCTACAGAATGCCAAGATAAAAAATGCCATCAACAGACTTCTTGTAGCTGTGGGAATATACATAGTTCCTAATTGTTTTTGCTTTATTGCAGTGATATGCTTTGAAATAGCTAAATTGACAACTCAGGTAAGTATCTGTGCCATTACTAATACAAAAATGGGAAACTATTTAAATTTGAAGGACAAACAAAGTGATAAAATGCTTGCTAAGGAAGAAGTTTTTTCTGTGGCCTGCCTTGGATTCCATAAGGTTTTCTTCTGTTTTGCCATTAATAAGTACCATTAGGTGCTCATACTAGTCACTAATAAAAGTATTATGCAATGCTTAGGAGGAGGTAGATGATGGAGAGGACTAGGTAGATGGGACTGACACAGCAAAAAATAAGGTTGTCAAAGAACCTGATGCAGTAAGGCCTAGGAATTCAGGCTGATTTTTGGTCTTCAGGCTGCTCATTTGAGAGATATTTACAGAAGGTGTTGAAACACAGCCGCCCACTGGAGGAGCAACATTCACACAATGAGACCTTTCAGAATTTCTATTCCAGCCACCCTACTCAAGTGGTCAGAGATGGTTTAATGGTGCATAGGAAGTTGGCCTTCTTACTTCTCCACCGACCAACAATTTTCTCAGCCTCAAATGTGCAGAAGGATGCTGAAGGTAACCTAGACACCAGCCTCAATTTGCCAACCGCAGTTTAACCCCCGCGATATATACCACTAACTCAAGGAGGAAGGGCCCAAGGGCTGCTTGGCCTTAGACCCTCAACTCTTTTACAGCGACATCTCAACTACTATTTCTAAGTCACTAGTGCCCAGCAGCTCCCCAGTCAATGAACGCAGGCTTAATATTGAGGTCATATCTTAAGTAGAAAGCAGGAAACACCAAGGTACTATCCATCTAGTCCACCTTTGGTAGGTCCAAGGACATCCAGCCGAGAAGTACGGCATGACCCCTTCGGCTGATATGACAGGAAAATCATGCACCCAGTCTCAAGCAACCGACTAGTACTTTTGCACTTCCGCTCATGTGGCCCAACAATTGGTAGACATGTTCTCTGTCTGCTTTCCCAAATTCTACCAACTGTACCAGAAAGCTTTTGATGCTAAGGTATGGTTGATGTCAGACAATAACTTATAATCATCAACTGTTAGCTTGTGTTTCTCAGTCTCTGAGCACCATAAGGCATACTTAAAAATCACATTTTATATTTGTTTGACATTTTCATGTGGATTGGAAGTCTACAGACAAGAGTTTTGCTGCAGCGAGAAAGCTCTGTGCAAGCTTTATAAATCCACAGAAGTTTTTTATACCAGTCACCAATATAAGCACTATAAGGCTTCACTTAGTAGAACACTTCCAAGTATTTAGGTCCTGATTTAGCTTATGCATTCTGATTTCCAAACACTGAAGGATGCCTTTGGAAAGCTTATTTTTATTTGTATTTTTATTACTGTCTTTATACCTCTGCTTATTTTGTTAAGTAACTCCCTTTGGTGTATTAGCAGGTGAAAAACATAATAAGGTGGAGCTAGAACACTACACTCATCCTTTGTTAGTATCTTATAGATGTTCTTAATTCCATTACTGCATTTATCAAGAATAGATTCTGTTATGGACTATTATGTGTTGTAGTAATGTTCATAGGCATAATAATTAATATTATCTCCAGTTTCTCTTAGGCTATTCATGTTGTTCACCAGACCACTGTTATTTATATTACCAAATATATTAACATATTAGATCTAAGTGTATATCATTAGAACTTGGATAGTATGCATTATATAGTTTACGCATAGCCAATCCTTGATATTTTACAAAGTTTCAGTAAGTGACAGTTTGGATATCATAAAAAAAAACTGCTTTGCTACCAAGGAAATATAGTTAATAAATTAACAGTTTAACTCTCCTTGATGAAAACACTTACTGACATGGTAAGCTGCTCATTGGAATTCTGTAAAGGATCTTACAGTCATTTGCAAAAATATTCTTAGTACACATGAGCCAAAAGAACATGGAAATCAATAAATAAAAATGAAAATTGCTACAAACATATCTGAGCCAGCTTAACACACTTTAATATAATATTATCATATTTGAAAAAAGATTTACAGCTATAAACTTAGAATTACAACTGACTCTATAGTAAGGCATAGTAGTAGTTAAAGAGCTCAGACTAGTAGTTGAAATGTTGATTTGGAAATAATTACAAACTGTATTGGCAGACGAAAAAGTTTAGGAAGAAGAGAATAGGCTAGAAAAACTAACAGAGGGTGCTATTCTTTGTGGAGCCAAGAACAATCTTTTGTGGATGTCATAGAATAACAGCAGGTTATAGAATTTAAGCACAGTACTATTCAACTACACCAGTGATTTTCAACCTCACTCCCAGCCAGAGTACTACCCCCCCTCCCGGCCAGACTACTACCCCCTCATACCAGCCAGACTACTGTGCTCTGCAGCCACCCCAACTAAAATACAATCCTCCTCCACCCTTCCAAGACTACCATGCTTCTCAGTTCCAGCTGGACTTCTTCACAGATGAGCAGCCCCTGTACGACGACCTCATCTCATATGCAGGCTCCAGGGTGCGGTGTAATATGTGTTGGATCTTGGTAGCACCACTCCACTGTGCACACCAAGTCCAGCACCAGCACTAGCACCCGGGCCAATGCTAGGGCCAGCACCAATGCCAGGTCTAGAGCCAACTCCAGGGCTAGCGTCAACACTGGTGCCAGCCATTGTTAATGTAGTGTTGCAGAGAGAGACAGAGTGGGGCGAGTTCAGCTGTGGGGTAATACATGTACTTTTGTTTAACTATAAGTTTGTATCCTTACCTTCTACCTACTAGGGACTACAAACCAAGTGTGTGGTCAGTCGACCACACACTATCAAATACCATCTCCCTCCTGCACCTGCATCTGCACAGCCGACCCTCTCATCACCCGCAACTACTCCTCCAAGTGCCAGTCGCACACAAGCTCAAAAAGCTGACATCAGAAGCATCAAGGGGAAAGTCAGAACCCTGCTTTATCGTACAATGCTACAAATGGAAGGCATTTCATGGACTTGGGGACAACAAAACAGGTATATCGACAGTGCATTGCAGGACATGATAATCAACACAATTGGGGATGGTGAGTTGGAACCATATTTGCCAAAGACATTAATTACTGACTGTTTTTTGTAGTTGGGTATGAGTTGTTTAAGCCACTTAAGCTTCAGGAAGAAACGGTCACCTCAATGTCGCAAACACAAAGGTTTTTCAAGATGTATGTGTCCCATAATGTCCAAAGTGCTCTCGACCTTCGCCTCCCAGTCATGGAGAAGGCAAAGGCAGTAAAACAGCTCCTCCTCCCCAGACTCAAATTTCTGCACAAAATTGAAATGGTGAGTGTCTCATTATGCAATCTATTTGACAAACTTATTGCTGTACTGACAGGTTGATGGCAATGAAATCACATGATTTTTCGAGGCCAACTTCTTTGTTAATATGATCATTGATGTTGTATGACAAGGAGGCCTCTATCCTGATGTTTGATTTAGAGAAACTCAACTGCATATTTGTTATCATGGGGGCTGCGGTTAACAACATTCTTAAGGTGTATCACGAGGGCATGTACAAAAATGTTCATGCATTCACTGATAATTTCTACAATCCTTACAGCACAGTGATGACATTGATTGACGACATTTGGAGTGATGACGCGCTGAGGGAGTGGTTTGAACTTTTATGCAATCTTATCATCACGCTCAGACAATCAGACATGGGCATGGATTAGATGATCTTGATTATGTGCATCTGTCTCTAGACAATCTATAATCTATTATCTACAACAAGATAATCAGTTTCTACTATTACTTTTCTCAAGCACAATGTGAATTCCGAACAGCCGAGGGTAATAACACTTAAATATGTGCATGACCCGACCTTTGCTACATACAGTTCCAAAAAAGTGCCTCAAAGACCTGTTAATCATGTTCAGGTTTTCAGCTACAGGAAGAACAACATGATACCCATTTCCGCAAAGGCCTAGGACATCTCCATCATAAGTGAAGCAGTCATCAGTCACATGTGTGACCATGTGTATTGTGACAATTATAACAGACAATATTAGAGCGACAACTACCGAGTCTGTACCCCTCCCCCTACCTCTGGATAAATAGTAACTGACAAATCTTTATTCTTTCATCTGTTATTTTGTGCTATTGGCACCCTTCTCCATTTCAACTTTGTTTGTGTGTGTGTTTACATTCTCCTTTGTAATGGGGTGGACATCTTGTGTTTGACTTGATGTTTATATTGGGTTCATGACAACAGAAGAGCCCAAGCTAGAATGTATGCACTGAATCCAATGATTCTTCCAACCCATATGGGAGACATTCAAAATGTTTAGTCTCACCTTGCCCTCAAAAGACACCCAGCCTCTCCAATGAAGAAATTGGTTGCACCATGCATTGCTCATGTTGCAATAGGAGCCCACTTGGGTTTCCGAGACAATACACACAGCACTTGTTCCCCAGCAGTGTCCGCAGTCTGTCTGTTTTTCCCCAGCCACAGCTTTGTCGAATATACACCTCTGGGACAGCTCCTTTCCAGCAGTTGCCATGGGCAACAACAAGCATCTGCTCCTATACAGCTCAGACAAACCTCTCTGATCGCACAAACCTAGTGGTCAACCATTCAGTAACATCTCAACAATTCAGCCATATCTGTGTGTCCACTGAACCTCCTCCCATGACCCATGACATGGGAGTCATGACAGAACTTCCCCACATTGATCCATACACCTCTCACAAAGATCCCATGGTCACCCAACCCATTCAGCACCTCTCAGACTTTCTGCATAATTGTTTTTGCAAAGACAGAACTAAGATATGGCCGAAAAAATTATGACATGGAGCCTCAATTAAGGACGACCTAACCAACACAAAGTGTGGTTATTCGCTCATGTCAGAGGAGCCATTTTATCAAAAGCAGCATGATATGCTCTTGTTCTTGGTCGATCACTACAATCTTGCGATGGTCGACAGCGCTGGCCGCGTGGCATGGAACATTCCTGCAATAATAGAGCTTCTCAGACACTCGTTGCAGGTCTGGGAGCCTCTTTACCACCTGCTTTTCATCACTACTCACATTTCCTCTTGCGGTACGCAGTTCATAGATCACAAAGTCAGCAACGTGGACAGGCATCGCAACCTGTTCATGCAGGTGAACGAAATGTTTCTGATAACCAGCTACAGCAAAAAGACCGGCATAACAGATCGCGACTCATGCACCCCCGGGTTCATGCCCAAGGAGATCGCCCTATGCGTCCTCAAAATGCTGGGTGGGGACTTATGCACCGCCGAAGCTATCCTGGCCAGCATTGTGTACGGCGCGGATGCAGAACATCTTTACAGGACATGAGTGCAGTCCTCAACCCTCGACCCCACTGAACAGATTTCTGTCAAGGTGCGATCACCATGGGTCGCGAGTTCATTGCTCCGGACGATTTGTACGATCAGGCAGACAACATCCTCGCTGAGTCTGCCAATCACTCTACCGGAATGGACCATGCTCACTACACAGTAATCCAAGGAGTCGTTCCTCGACTGTCCAACAATGCTATGTGTAAGCACCTTTGGCTCAGTGATCAGTGGCACAGTGTACTAGGTCTCAGTCCACATCTGCCTCCAGAGGCCATTCGAACCAGCTGTAAGAACATGGCCAATGGGGTCACTGTCCAGTCCATCTTGGACCTGGTCAGTAAAACCATGCACAACACCATGAGCGTATTTCTTTCCAAACAGTATGCGGATATCCTTAAGGACGCAGTCTGCACCGCACTCATATACCAACGCAAAGACGAAGAGGCTGATGGTTCCACACCAGAAATGCCACTGCTTGCCAGCAGCTACTACAAGCCACAGTCCTTGAACCTTCTGAGTGATCTGGGATACATGTTCTACGACTCCAGCAACAGTGAGTAACTGGACCACAGTTTTGTTAGTTATATGATCATTCACCTCTACAGTATGCTTTTCTATCCTTTTCATGGTATCTATACGACTTGTCTAGGTCGAGTTATCCCTTACCTTTGTGTTATGGCTTGTCTGTTTACATTTGTTTACCATACATCGCCCATATCCCAGAGTCCAGTGCTCCCTGCCTCTTTGGCAACTTACTCTGGACTCTAGGTACTGTATACCTTTACTATACTTGAATACATTGGCAACTTACTCTGGACTCTAGTCCTGATCATCTTTGGTCACTCAGGAGCCTCTAGAAGCGGCCCATTCAGTTCCCATTGCAACAAGTTTTCCACCAACTGTCCTCATGCAATTTGGCAGGTGTCCGAAGAGCAAGTGGGATGTCCTCCCCTCATTTGAAATTTCAGAGGTGCCGCCTGCCCTGGGGTGTCACCAACCGCAAGTGGTTACATCAAATGCGGGAGCATGCTGTTGGACTCACCACTGCCAGCCTTGTCGATCAAAAGCATCTCGTGATCTGAATTCATGGGCGAATTAATCATTCCAGGTAGCGATCCGCGTGAATCAACACCTGCACCAGATCACAAGGGGAAGGGTAGAGCCTACGAGCCCAGACAGCGTTGAGTGTCCAAAGACAAGTTCAATGTGTCCGCAAGGAAAGGCAGGCATGATAGTGTGGCGGAGGCCAGCTTGTCACCTATCTCAGTCCACTGTGCGAAGAGGAGGGCTTATGATTCTGGCAGGCCTCCACCGTCAAAAAGCAAAGGGAGGGACATCGCCGATCTCAAGGACAAGAATAGGGCATATGAGCCTGGCCAACATCGACCGCCGACAACCGTCATGGTGAATGCTTCCAAATGTCAGAATGCGGTAGACAACATCACCCAGCACGGGTCATCCATCTCATCCCGATCGACTTCAGCTCCAGTTGCACGCTCTGCATACCGGTCCTTGGGCGACAGTCACCAATGGAGGTCACGAGTCCCTCGAGCGAGCCTGACCTGTCAGATTTCAACGACAGTTTGCCCCTGAATTGTCTGTGTTGGCACGGAACCTCAGGTCACAAGGAGCCCATAGATGTCATCAGCATCTCAAGTGACAACAACGAGAATACTCCCATCAAAGGTCTTTTTGCGTCCAGTACCTCTAGAAATAATGTGCCCATGGACATGGACAGCCCATCGAGCGACAACTGTAATCCATTCTCACCCCAAGTGTAGTTCAAGCCATCAGGGAGCAGATTAGAAGTGTGATACAGAGAATCATGAATGATGTCTCCGCAAGAGAAAAGAGCGCTGCGCAGATGAATGTGGTTATCACCATCATCACTCAAGAAACCGACATGGTCATCATCATGAAGACAGGAGGTGGAAAGAGCATGTCATGGATGGTTCCCTCAATTATCAACCCAACCACCAAATCTATTGTTGTCTGCCCGTTCATCGCCTTGCTCGATGAACAGTACAAGAAGACCGTCGCGGCTGGACTGCATTGCCATAACTATTGCGAGTCCAAGATGGTGCCGAACAATGTTCAGATTCTTTTCGTGCAGGTCAAACATTGCTCCTCCAATGTGTTTTCTAGGTAAGAAGACTCATGTACAATTTGGAAGCATCTAACCGTACATCGATAGCTTCCTTCTGTCGCCACTGGGGAAGCTGTTTAGCAGGCTCTTTGTGGATGAGTTCCATGACGGCCAGTACTTTCATCCAGAACATGTTTCACAATGGAAGGCTCTCGCACGGCAATTCAGCGCAATGTTCATCGTAATCGTGCTTCTGACGGCAACTGGATCGCCCACCCGTGTTGCGAGCTTTATCAAACTGTTCAGCCTGAAGCTCAATCAGATTACCGAAGTCCAGTCATCCACCAACTGTCCTGAGATCGGAATGCATGTTGTGCAAATCCAGCCCATCGCAGCAAGGCAGTCCCTGATACACCTCGTCGCTGCTCTCTCCCAACGTCTGTCTGAGGTGGAACACATTCTGGTGGTCCGTAGCACAGAGGCCAATGTAGAATGATTCGCTCAGGAGGCGAGGTGCACTGTCTATCACAGCAACCTTTGGTCCACTGGAAATATCTGTTAGTTATATGATCATTCACCTCTACAGTATGCTTTTCAATCCTTTTCATGGTCTCTATACGTACATATTCATTACCTATATTTCTCTGACCATTCACTCACTTTCCTGACCTCCCTAGGACTTGTCTAGGTCGAGTTATCCCTTACCTTTGTGTTATGGCTTGTCTGTTTACATTTGTTTACCATACATCGCCCATATCCCAGAGTCCAGTGCTCCCTGCCTCTTTGGCAACTTACTCTGGACTCTAGTCCTGATCATCTTTGGTCACTCAGGAGCCTCTAGAAGCGGCCCATTCAATTCCCATTGCAACAATATCAGGGCCTACAACCTCAATATGTGGGATGAAGGCGAATCAAAGGTCATGGCATGCACGACAGCCTTTGCACAGGGTATTGACAGGCCGAGTGTTCAATATGTGGTGATCTTCAAGCCGTCCTTTGGGCTCATCGTCAACAACCAGATGCTGGGTCGCGCTGGATGTGACAGGAGGGAGTCGCATGTGTTCTTCCTCACTGACGATCGTGGACCCTCACTCCCCATGATAATTGAATGGTCGTGATTGTGGCCCGATCGGACGTTTCATGGGGACTGAAACAACAGAGAATTGTTAAAGGAGGTAGTTTTCACGGATACCGAGCCAATCTGTTGCAATGGGAACTGAACGGGCCGCTTCTAGAGGCTCCTGAGTGACCAAAGATGATCAGGACTAGAGTCCAGAGTAAGTTGCCAATGTATTCAAGTATAGTAAAGGTATACAGTACCTAGAGTCCAGAGTAAGTTGCCAAAGAGGCAGGGAGCACTGGACTCTGGGATATGGGCGATGTATGGTAAACAAATGTAAACAGACAAGCCATAACACAAAGGTAAGGGATAACTCGACCTAGACAAGTCCTAGGGAGGTCAGGAAAGTGAGTGAATGGTCAGAGAAATATAGGTAATGAATATGTACGTATAGAGACCATGAAAAGGATAGAAAAGCATACTGTAGAGGTGAATGATCATATAACTAACACAATCGTGATGGCGTCAGGACAACACAGGGTCGCAGCATTAAGGAAAATGCATCAAGGGTACGTAAACGATGAAATCGCGCTGAGCAAGTGTTTGAAGGTCCTGATGGAGAGAGGGAACCAACAGAGGAACTGGTGGAAGAAGAGCATGCGGAAGTTCGACAACAGCTGGCGAAAGTGAAGGGGCAGATGAACCAATGTGGGGATTGGGGGGGTGATACTGTACTATGTGGGTGAGCAGTTTTTTTGCGCATCCAGAACTCATTCCAGATGCGTGGATCCAACGAAGTGTTGGTGAAAAAATCATCAGGACTCACCATTGTACCAACGACAACGCAATAACTTGCGCATTGAGATTTGATTCTTGATGCGCAAGTTGTTGTGTTCTTGTTGGAATGATGAGACTTCATGTTGTGCATCGAGAATCATATCTCGATGCACAAGTGTGTGCGTTGTCGTTGGGTTTTGCGCAGAATAGATACTCAATGTGCAAGCTTATGCGTAGTTCTGGATGCACTGAAATCAAGGTTAGTATTATTGATTTGATGCTGACTCGACTCACCAGACGTACTCCTTGCTAATGGCGACGAGCTGGCTCACCACTTGAGTCGCAATCAGACTTGAAGAAGTTCTTGTATCATCCTTGAGGAACGTATCAGATGAGTATCAACGAGGCGGGTTACCAGCTGTGATGGACGCCCTGGAAGTCATATTCAGCAAGCCGGTGAAAGAGAAGAATTCAAAAATCACCCAAATTCTGAAGAATACAAGGTTAGTTATCACCCTTGTGAGGGATCTGCTCCCCATGGGCCCCGACTAGTGCTGGTGTCGCAAGTTTAAAGTCGGTTGGCTTTCAAAGCCATATCAACCACTATGGGAGTAAGTAGTTCATGTTTTTGATGAGTTAGAGACGATGAATATACTCACCTTTTTGTTAAAAAGATGTATATGATTTATATGTCCACCGGCATAGACACATTTCGACTTCTCGCGTTGAAGGACGAGTTCCCGACCTACAAAGAGATCGTCAAACTAACACAAGCATCTGAGACGGTTAACACAGCTGGTTGGCAGGCACTTACACGTTTATCGGGGCTGTACGACACGATCTTGAACGGCAAGCATGGGGACCCGACCGTTTTTGTTCCCTACATAGCCGAAATCGACGAGGCTGTATCTAGGATTTCGGTCGCATAGGGGAATGTTCGGTGTATGGGGTCGGAGTACCTTCACTTGCTGATGTGGTACCGGGACGCCGTCCATACGGCGTTGTACAACAGATAGTTCATACACGACAGAAGGCCGAAGGACAAGCTACGGTGGATGGACAGGGTGTTGGCGAGGACGTGGGTCTGGTTGATGGCGATCCCAAAGGTTCAATTGCCCTCTCCATTGATGACGGGGACCGTGATGGACAAGGTCCATAAAGAGCTAGAGGCCGTGAAGTTGGGGTGCACGGAGGTAAGCAGAAGGAACGGTACAATTGGGAAGTGAACTCACCTGGGACTAGACAGGACGTTGGTTTGAGCCAGTCATCGATACAATGAAGGTGCACTGCAGCCACAGTCACGCTGTCGACGATCACACCGAGGCATTATTTTCGTGCATCGAGCGTGAACGGCGAACTATTAGATAATGGCTCGGCCATTAAACCAGGCAAGTCTAGAATGAGTTAGCAAACAATCCAGGTTTGGTCCGTGTTGTGGGAGGGAAGATTGACTAGTGTGTTTCACCTCCACAACACGATGTTGCAAGTCGCGATCGAGAAGAAGATGTAAGAACGACCTAAAAGTAAAGATCAGTTCAATGCGAAGTGGGGGACAATGTCCGAGGAGACGAAGGACAGTACATCAGCTCTGTACGATGTCGTACGATGTCTTCAAACATCTGGTCGGAAAGGGGCATCAAGAAATAGAGAAGTTAAAGTTGAAGATGACGGGGATGATTATGTAGTATGTTGACAAAATGCCAAGAGACTGCACCATCACCACTCCAACCCCGCTAACATGGATGAAACACTGGCTCCATATTATAAATCAAGAGCAATACCTGACAATACCATATCTGTCAAGTACATCCTGGTCTCAGGCTCTGGCAATGTTTTACTGAGTATTGGTGGTGTTTGATCCTTGGTTCTCCCAAGATTTTGTACAGGAATCGTAAATATTAGAAGTTTGTAAATGATTGTAAGCAAATTGTGAGTCTGTAGGACAATAATACATGTGGTTTTTCAGGGCCTCAAGTCAATCAATTACATTGTCAGGAAAGTCAGTCCTGTCAGTCTGTATTTAGTAGGAAAATCAGTCTATTGTGTCAGTCTGGTCAGTTTGAATGTATTATCACAAAGTCAGTGGAGTCAATCTTAACATAGTGAACTATCATAGGCAAGTCAGTTGGAGGTCAGGGATGTGAGTACAATCCATTGGTTTATTCCATCCATGTATATTGTAGCATTACACAAATCATAAATACTAGAAGTTTGTAAATGGTTGTAAGCGAATCATGACCTCTTCTCTATCAATAAGCTCTCCCGGGTGTGTTAGACTCTGAATGCCAGAGCATTTTATAGGTCCAAAGCGATATACTAAACTTGCTGTTGCCATGTCTTTCCAGAAATGTTTTATGATCATGTTAGAAATGCAGGTTTGGTGGTACTCATTGTCCAGGATGTCTTCTTGTCAGTGCCAGCAGCTACATATTTTTTAAAATCTATCACCATCATGCAGAGAGTGATGAGAGGCCTAGTGAATACTTGTGATAATTGTAAGACAGTGGCACAGGAAATAGATGTATGACTTACTGATATGGGAAGATGCACGTGATAGATGAAGGACCATTCACTGAAGTGTTGCGAGGGAGTGTTCACGGACTCGATTGGTGAGGAAATTTCCTTTTTGCATTGATATGATGGGATAGCTCGACCTCATGGATAAATTAACAGTCAGTGCAAACACTGCATGGTACTATCCAGGTGGTTGTATACTTGTAGGGGTGAGCGAACACTTATTAAATTTATCAGGTGATTGACTCACATTAAATCACCTTCCAGGAGAGTGACTACCTCCATATCCCAGTTTGCCTCAATCTTTGTATGATTTGCAAGAAGGTCCATCAGCAGTAAGGAATGTCCCAAGAATGTTGTGCATGAAACGGTGCCATTCTTAGGGAAGGCCACACAATCCACATTTTTTGCCCAGTAACAAAAATAATACCTCCATCCAAGTCATGGTGGAAATTTTGTCATGATGGCAGGTTGATGGGCCAAAGCTCACCTATTGAGGAGGAAATTGTTGGGATGGACTTTTGAGGCAATAGGGTGGTCAAGTGTAGTTTTATTCCATCCTTGAACAATGCCATGACTGAGTTATTGTCTAAGGAAGTGGAAGTTTAGAATAAAGATATGGAAGGTCGAGGATGAGCTGTATCTGGTTTGGGTAATCTAAGTTTCAGATGAACTCCTCAATTGTTCCCTCAACTTGTGGGTATGTGTAATTTTTAGCATGTTCTTCAATGTCTGTTGGACAGCACAAGATTGACAGAGAACAAATGTACCCAGAAAAAGACCCACCATGTATAATGACACACATATACTGTGAGAAACCATGATCTTCCAAGTACTCTACATCAAGTTTTGCTGCTCGAGGTTGGCTGGCTCTGAACAACAATGCAAAGGTCATATTGTCAACAAAGACAGGAAGAATGATGCAGTCATCACCTCGAGAGTAGACATAGATAGCTGCATCAGAGTACGTCTGCCTGAACCCAAGAGACTCGAGCACAGCTCTCATCTTCTTGTTCCAGCGATTGCCCCCTTGCTTGGCCAATGCCATAGATGGACTTGTCAAGAAGACATACCAGTCTCTTAGGATCGCCCTCAGCAAAACCTTCGGGTTGCTCCATGTAGACTTCACAGTCCATCTCTCCGTTGAGATAAGCATGAGTGGGCAGTCTGGCACCAATGCCAACAGTAGAAGCGGGAGGAGGAGGAACTGGGGCTGCTGGCACAACTGGTAGGTGTGCAGGTGGCTGAGCTGGATCAGGCCTTAGAACACCAGGTCTATCTATCACCAGGATGGGCATCTGGGACAGCTGGGTCAACTGCAGGCATAATAGCCAATGCAGGGGGCACTGGAGCGATGGCAGGAGGGACTAGAGGACCTGGTGGACACACCTCCCCCCATGAGCCAGTGCCTCGTCAGAATCATCATCATCATCAGAGAGTCTGGAATTACCCAAGACTTGACTGAGGGCAATGGAGGAGGGGGCTGAAGCACACTAGAAGGCCTCTAGAGCGAGGTAAATGTTGCAATGGGAACTGAATGGGCCGCTTCTAGAGGCTCCTGAGTGACCAAAGATGATCAGACTCTGGGATATGGGCGATGTATGGTAAACAAATGTAAACAGACAAGCCACAACACAAAGGTAAGGAATAACTATTATGCAGATTTCCACAGCCTTCTCCTACTTCAGTGCGAGATGCTAAGCGGAGCCCCTGGACGAGGAACAGAACTGACCGCTATAACATATTGCAATACCTGCACCCGACCAACCTGCAACCTTGTTATTCTAGGCAAGCATGTAGCAATGCTTTGCATCTATTCAAAGACCAGCACCCTAACTGGAAAGGATAAGTTGATGTTGCAATGGGAACTGAATGGGCCGCTTCTAGAGGCTCCTGAGTGACCAAAGATGATCAGGACTAGAGTCCAGAGTAAGTTGCCAATTTATTCAAGTATAGTAAAGGTATACAGTACCTAGAGTCCAGAGTAAGTTGCCAAAGAGGCAGGGAGCACTGGACTCTGGGATATGGGCGATGTATGGTAAACAAATGTAAACAGACAAGCCATAACACAAAGGTAAGGGATAACTCGACCTAGACAAGTCCTAGGGAGGTCAGGAAAGTGAGTGAATGGTCAGAGAAATATAGGTAATGAATATGTACGTATAGAGACCATGAAAAGGATAGAAAAGCATACTGTAGAGGTGAATGATCATATAACTAACAGTTGATACCCCACAGTTTAGACGCTGTAACTGGGGACATTCTTATTCAAGATCTGGCTCTGGCCAGACCTTTTGCAGAATTCGCTGCTTCAATCTGCTTTCCTGACAACACCCAGCTCAAGGAGCTATATCACCAGCAAATGTTTGTCAAATTTGATCGAATGTTCAATTCCAGTGACCTATCCTCCGCCATGACTCGTCACAGCCTTCCAGTCCTCAATTATGGTCTAACTATCAACTCCTGGAGGCATATACAGACTATCTGGAAGCGGAAGTTGAGATGCTCAGCCCAAGATCTTTTAGATGGAGATACTGAGGACACCGTAGATGCTTTGCAAGCAGGCCACTCTCGGGCGACAGAGAATCACATCTATGGACTCAGTGTGGAGACTCTAGCAGGCCCAGCCGAAGATGTGCTGCCATTGTTTTTGAATGCCAGTACCATGTGGCAGATCAAGTGCAAGACTGTCCCAGGCGAAGTTTTTCTTCCGTATGCCCAGGCTCGATCCCCTAATAACAGTCCTCCTACATCCATCCTGGATACCTATCAGAATAGAGGTGTGGTGTCAAATACCTCACTAGCGTCAAATGCAGATGATATTGCCAACAAGATAATTGAGCTGCTCATGCCAGTTCTTACTACTACAATACAGGCAGCTATCTCCAGCACATTGACTAGTCTTCCTACAGCTAGACCATCTCCCCTATCTCCCCCATTGCCATCACATCCATCACCACCATCACTGCCATCACCACCATTACCAATCCGCAATAGCTTCCCAGCCCATCAATAATTCCAGGATGAGTCAGAAGAGGAATATGCCTCAGAGCCTGAAAATTGCGCCGATGAAATTCCAAGCAGTGGGGAGAAGGATAGCAGGGAATCAGAGTCACTTCAACTGCTACGTAAGCTCTAATGCTCATATCAATATTATCTGACCTCATTTATACAATGGCACAGCATTCTGTATACCTGGCCCCGCCGTAGACCATGCTCTGACAGCCATGAAAACAATGTTGCATAATCAAGCAGTTACTTGGGCTTCTGAGCAACAATGCCAGGCAATGGCTCATCAACGTAATCATGGACACGCCGGATCCTGAAGTCGGTCTTGACCTCCCCTTGTGCGTCAGCACGACCTGCATCCTGTAGAAGAGTAACAATTGCTCTCTCAACTGCTTCTATCATCTGCTCATGGGTAACTCGAGGGACGTTGTGAGGCCACGTGAAGCCTGTAGGAGTCGTGTCGGTCTCATCTCCCCACGAAGATGGAATGCATAAATCCCTCATCGTCTTCAACAGGTCTGTGATGGCGTTGCATTTAAAGTAGGGGTCCAGCTTAGCGATGATCTTGGTCTCGAAGTGGTTGCAGAACAAGTCCCACTTGTCGTAGGGAGCCTTCATATCCCCCTCCTTATGAGCCGTGAAGATCCAAGTCAGATCACAGTCTAAATGAACTGATTTTGGGTAGAAGGGGGATTGGAACCATATGCAGAGGGCGGTAAAAGACATAAAGACTGTCTCAAGGTCATGCCATGGTTGGATCAACAACTCCTGCCTAAAAGCCAGGCCTTCATCATTTCCAAACCAAGGAATGGCCAGGTACCCTTGTCCAAAAGTTAGTGCAATAATATTGTTGGACTGAAGGATACCTCACTGTGGCAGTAGAAGGTTGCTCTCCACCCTTGCGCAAGGCCTTGTTCACCCAATCTAGCCGCAACATTCCATCAGCTGCCGACCTCATGAAGATCAGCGTGTTCATATCTGGATCCTTGTTCCCCTCATGAGGACTCTACAAGGGGGGGGATCAAAAATGTTCCGTCTGCCTTGGTCCGAGGGCTACCTGGAATGCAATGGTGTCCGGCTTCTGCTTCACTGGAAATGAGGTTGCGCTTGTCTGACATCTGCTGCCCTCCAGGACGGTAAACTGCAACATCCTCTGGCAACAATTCAGGCACGTCATCACCAGAACTGCCGCTCTCCATTGCAGCAAAGCCCCAATCAATCAGGAGCCCTCAGCGTATCTGGGACTGATTTTTCTTAGGGAGTTCTCCCCAAAGCCCCTCCAGCTTCTCCGACCACCCCCTGGTAACTGGCCAATCAGAACGGGCCTGTGGCACCATCGCAAAGTTCCACAGGCTGAGATTCCGATGCAGCATACAATAGGACGCTTTTCCAGGTTCCTCCACCTTGCTGCAAGCTTGACGGTGCGCTGTACTCCTTAGCTCATCTTTCTCCGGAATAACAGGATCAGACTCACTGCTTAGTAAGTCTCTCAAGACACACAACAACTCCAAAAGGTTGCCAAACCAATAGATAGGGGTACCCACAGGGTATATAGGTATGTCCTTATGTGGCATCAAGTAGTATGGGGATCTTCAAGAGCTGAGCTGCCCATCTGGGATACAGGTGAAGGTGGCGTTGTAGCAGATATGGCCGGCACATTTGTTGTGGCCAAGTTTTTTTCATGCCGGCTCCATGCAGTGTCCTTGGAAGGTTTGGAAAGTTCCAAAGCGGATGCCTTCAAATGGCGCAGTGATAGAGCCGCCGCGATCAAATGCTGAATAGCTAAACTTGTCCCTCCTGATACATATCAGGATGACATACCTAACGGGAGATCAATTAGAGTGTTAGCAGTGACAGCAGAGAAGACCTACTGTTGGTCATGCTGAATACTGAACAAGGTCTTTGCACGTTCAGCCAGCTGGCCCCAAGCTTGTCCATCGTGAGCATTCATGCCGTTCTTCATCTCCACCACACAAACTATGTTCCGCCAATCTGCCTCAGCCTCTCTATCAAGGACAATGATGTCCGGTTTGCGTTTATCAAGAAAGTTATATGATTATTCACCTCTACAGTACGCTTTTCTATCCTTTTCATGGTCTCTATACATACATTTTCATTACCTATATTTCCCTGACCATTCATACACTTTCCTGACCTCCCTAGGACTTGTCTAGGTCGAGTTATCCCTTACCTTTGTGTTATGGCTTGTCTGTTTACATTTGTTTACCATACATCGCCCATATCCCAGAGTCCAGTGCTCCCTGCCTCTTTGGCAACTTACTCTGGACTCTAGGTACTGTATACCTTTACTATACTTGAATACATTGGCAACTTACTCTGGACTCTAGTCCTGATCATCTTTGGTCACTCAGGAGCCTCTAGAAGCGGTCCATTCACTTCCCATTCTAATAGAAAATAGTAATGAATTGCTAATTGTGACTCTGATTATGTGTATGTATACTGTGAATGTGGGAAAGCAGTTCGTTTGATCTAAGATGAAGCAAGTAGACAATTCAGGTCACAAGTGTGTCAGGATCAATTTCTGAAGATGCAGAAATATATCCTTCAACCTTTCTCTGGTTATTTTGAACTTCTTTCCTGGTACTAGGCACTTCAAGTGTTGTTTGTGTGCTTGGCAAATTCTGTGCCTAAACACTGGGATACCAAGATTAGACAAGTGTAGTAGATGACAAGGACGACAAGACATGTGACATACCCAATCTAATAGCCTGCCAACGAGGACATTCTTGTTCCCCCTGCAACATTGATTTTTTGCATCACAGAGATTCACCAAGGTCGGTTTTGTGAACCAAAGGAGTGATATTGCTGCACCTTCAACCAGAAGCCTAGCTGACTCGGTGTCTGTCAGCAATGTCTTCCTTAAAGAACAGGGAGGAATGACTGGCTTTGAGGGCATATCTTCCGTTGATTGATTGGCTTTCTGTCATGTCATATGGTTAATTATTTACACGCTCAAAGCACTTAGTATATGCACCCAATTCAGGAGAGTCTTGATAAGTGCTCGCTCCATACTTTCCCTCCTGAGACTTCTATCCTGACATAGATGAAAGAGGACAGGTTTGGTGCAAGTGTCGAGGGCGGCGAAAGTTCCTGTAGCGAGTGCCTCAATGCCTTTCTGCATGCATCCATCAGATGGCCTCGCAATACTTTTGGCTCCCTCTGCTGAAGCAGTTTCACCATCTTCTAAATCCATGTTCATCTGCCCACTACTCAACAATGATATCTGAGGATGCGCAGATATATGATGATGTGCATGGACTCAACAACCGTGAAAGAAATAGGATCTCAATATGGGAGACAAGGAAGTTTGGTCCAACAGACCCCAAATTGATCAAATAGACATTGTCTATCTTCGAGTGTAGTAAGTACATCTTGGTTTGAGCAGGCATGTTTGTGATGAGCCTCAACGTCATGAATTGAACTAGGTGAGGCAAATATGATTATATCAAGTCTCTCCTTCAAGTCATACACACAGCAGGAATTTGAGCAAAATCAACTTTGAGTACAGGTCATTCTTGTGTGACTACATCATTCTTGTGTATTTCTCATTGCACTCTATCCTTGATCATCTTGCAAATGCTGAATGAGAGTGTTTGCCAGCAGCTCTGGGGACATATCACAAAAGACGGTCACATTCCTCATTTTTTTTAATGGTAAGCCGGACACTTGTGCTCAAAAATTACTATATATGGCCATGGCTTCTGTGGGACCGTGGATACCGCTATTGCAAACAAGAACAAAAAAAATTGCAATAATATTAAGTGCTATGTCTGTCTACCATTCGTCCAGCAAGTCCGAGTCCTTGCCATCAGAGAAATCCCACACAACCAAACCAGTGTGATCCAGTCCCACAATATATTTGTCAATGCCAAGTGTGATGTCTGGCTCTTCATTGTGGACAAGACTATCCAACTGGTCCTAGTGCTTGTCAACTATATAAATGTTGGTCCCCTGGCATTTGTGTCAAAAATAAAAACTGGCATACCAAGACCAAGACAACTGCCCACCCTGCCCATATAGTATGTGCCATTGCCATCTTCACGATAGGGCAACTCTTGATGGTTCTCTATAAGCAGCAAAATGGTTAATTCTTGCTCTGCCTCATCATACAGCTTGATGTGGTGTGGTATCTCCTCGCTGACCTGCACTATGGTGAGTAAGCGCAGGTATACATCCCAGGCAGTCTGCCGTGTAACCAAAGGGTGCCCAAGTTCTGTATAGCAATGTTCCATGAACTCGCTGAACAGGTGCAGAACAAAGTCAAATACAACATGGGAAGGATCAATATAGAGATCACGGACATGGTCTAACACTTCACATTTGACTTTGATCTGACAAAACAAAAGTCAGAATGCACAGAACAAGTACGGACAGGTTTGCTTACTTTAAAGTCCAAAATGCTAAAGTTTTCGGGTGATTGGTAGATGATGTCAAGTGCACCATGGGGTAGGCCGAGAGCGTACCTCAGCCACTTGTCGTGTTGGTCAACTGCGAATAGATCATTCACACCTGCGGCCCAAAATCACTTGCTTTGAAGGTGATTGTTCTTGCACTGGTGAACGAGCTCTGGCTTGTATGTATAGAAATACGATATGATGACACTCCTGTGATACAAGCAGTCATTGATTAAGATACAATGAGGATACATGAATAAAAGAAAAAATTACCTGGGTACACTCATGTTCTATCCATGAAACAGTAAGCTTACAATTTCGCGCACTCCAGTGTTTAAATACATCAGACGTAAATTAGTCATAGCATCCCAGATAGTCTCAATATCATCATTTTGCTGGTGTGTTCTCCGAAGACCCTTGCCTTTATGAATCTTGAGGAATTTTATAAGCCTAAGCACGCCATCAGAATATAGCTGCAATTGAAGGAAGAGTATAAACTAACCCAAGACCATAATGTGATGTATTGAAATGTTTTTTGCAATTCCATGACAATTTGCTTATTGGTCTGGTGTGCTCTCGATAGGCAAAGGATGTGTGGCTGAATTACGTCCAAAGGTGCTAAGGATCAGACCAGCACAAAAAGCGCTGTTGCAAGGAGCGAGATGCAGCCAGCCTGAGCACTGTCTCACAGTGACTCCTGAGTCAGTCGGGAGGAGTGCACTTAGTAGAGTCTGGCCTCGAGGTTGCAGGACATGATTACTATGAGGGAGATCTCGGTGATCATGATGAATTGTGTCAACATGAGTACCGCATACCACTAGAGCCACCATTTTTCTCTAAGCAATTCATCAATAACAAAGGCTTGGACTCTGATTCAAGCATGAAGAGCATTGCCGGACTAGCACCTGATGTATCAAGAATGTGGGATAAGGCCTCGGTGCAGATGACATCAGTAAGAGTTATCTTATTAATACTTCCAAGGATGTTAATCTAATGCTTAGGTACAATTATAAACCACAGTTCGAGAAGCATGTCATATCTGTAGATTATCAGAAGGGGAAACTGGACTTTGACATGTATTCATGGCTGCTATGGGACTGGGCTATGGACCTGCTCAGCAAGCCTATCTTGGCGCCACATTTTGAATGGGATGCTTAGCGGCTGTACAAGCATAATGGTGTGCAATACACACAATTTATACATGAACCTTGGACGGCAGACCATTGGTGGAGGATCCAAGTATGCACATAATGTGATGTATTAGCTGTAACTAACTTATAACAATGTTTTGTTGTAGTCTTCCATCAGGAAAAAATGTTAAGGCTATATAGACAACCATAGCGCTATATACTGCTATACAGTGGGGATGGGCAAGACCCTGCCAACTTTAAACTCCGACAGTGATTTCCAATTCCTGCTCTACAGCTGGAATCAATGTCTAGCAGAAATATCGCATGGTAGTGTTTAACATTCACGTCGTAACAAAAAACCTTGGAAGCAAATGGACATTAAATATGATAATGCTTGTATTCTATGAGGAAAAACATGCAAAGGTGTTGTTTTCGCAGTGATCCTATTTTCAAATGGGGTAGAATGCAGCTTTTTTCCTGATTTTTTTCAGAGAATACAAAGTTGGGATAAAAAAAAAGCCCCTCGTACCAATTTGACCACAATAGTGTGACTGAATCGTCTGTGGCCATGCGATCTTTGAGCACACCAAATATGTGCTGACTAATTAAGATTAAGTGCGATGTGACGTGTTTTGACGCGTCAAGCCAAGCACAATGGCCCTCATCGCACGGAGATATATTACAAGTGACCGTTATAATCCCTCGAAGAAACGATCTAGCAAACAAAAAGCTCACCTTATATCCCTAAACTCAAAGACGCACACAGAAAAGGAGAATAACCCAAATTTCGGCAACACCACTCCTAGACCTGTAACACGGACACAAAATGAGCTTGCCGTGCAACAAGAGAAAGCCATTACTTACGAGAGGTGCTACCGAAGTGAGCGCAAGCGGGCCACACGAAAGGACCGTGCTGCTGCAAGTCTGCAGATGCAGATGCACTCGTTGCAGTCGTCAAATGCAGAGATCACAGCAGTAGCCAAGAAGACACAGGAGCATCTCGATAATGCTATGCAAAGCATCAGCCACCTGCACCACAAAAACAAGTCGCTCACCAAACGAAACCACGCACTCGTAATGCGCGTCACACGTGCCTCGGCAGCAAAAACACGCGCGAATGAGAAGGCACGGGATATCCTTGCCACCGAAGCTGCCAGCACCTTTTCTCTCAAGGAGAAAGGTGTGTTTACAAATGTATCCCGTGCGATGGTGCGAGACTTGGTCGCAAATCTGGACATACCTCTTCGGAGCATCAATGCCACAATCAATGTGGTAGCGGAGGCATTAGGTGTTGAGGTGGAGGGAGATGTTAGCCAGCGCAGTATTCGCCGGATGGTGATTGAAGGTGGCATTGCAGCGGAGACACAGCTAGTCGACGAGATCACTCATGCAAGAGGTATGCAAGTTGTTTGACTCGGAGTCAAAGAGATTTTGACCCCAACCCCTGCGACACAGGAGTTACATTAAGTGGAGATGGTACCACCCACAAAAATATCAATTACCAGTCCCACCATGTCACTCTTACTCTGCCGGACGGGCAAACTGCGACTCGATTGGCAGGAATTCTGCATGAAGTCAACCACACCAGTGAGACTCAGTTACAAGGGTGGAAACATCAAGCTAATGAAATGTACTCCACCTACAATGATGTCATGGGGGGTCACAACGCTGCAGACATTCGGGATTTTGCCCCAAAAGTCAAAGGAATGTTGACAGACCATGCTGAAGACCAGAAGAAGCTTGTTCATCTGTTCGCAGAGTGGAAACGAGAATGCGAGCGAGAAGTTCGTGGTGAAAAGGCACTCGCCTGCTTACCTCCGGCTGATGTCGTACATCTACTTTCGGAAATGATGGAAAACATTATCGAGACTGCGGGTGGCTATCAGCAATGGGATTTGCTTTCTCCAGATGAGCGGCAGCTCCATTCTAGCAAAGCCATCCGTCAACTGCACATGACCTTTGGAGAGAAGGAATTTGCATCCCTCTCAAGTGCCGAAAAGGAGGCCGTGGACTTTTTCGTGTGGGCAGGCTGCTGCATGCATAAGGAGCTAAATGCGGCTAAAGGGGGGAATACAAGGATGCGAGCATGGTGGGAACAGAACGGTGTTGACGGCCCTGTCCTATTGATGAATAAGGACAATTCGGCTGCAGCATCAGCGGGTTCCTCAGTAGCCAAAGATCGGGCTGTTCAGGTGTCAACAGGAGGTGGGCAGAAGACTTTGGATCTTGCGGGCAGCGTATTTCGTCACAAGGACGACAAAAAGGGCCAACACGACTCCCTTCGATATTATCTCGAGACAGAGTTAGGGTTCACCAGTCAATGGCCCGACACAAGTAACACTCACTACCACAACCATGGTGATGCCGCATGCGAGTATCTTGTTCACAAATCTTGGTACATGCAGTTCCTGGAGATCGTACTGTTCAAAAAGGAAAGCCGGACGCACACGAACATGGAGCAGAATGTCTTCCGAGGCTTCTCATGTCTCAGGACAGAGGAGGAAATTACATGCTGGGCATCATACAACCAATGCCTCACCCATCCGTATCTACGAACCATCCGAAATTCATCCACCAACATACTGGACCTGGGGCCCATTCATGCCAAGGTCATTGCTCACCTACAGTGTCTCGTTGCGGATGTTGACCTTGTTTTGGGTCCGAGCGCCTCTCACGAAACAGCAACCCTGGATGGTAGGCCATTTGAGCGTCCAGAGGCAGTCTACGCAATCCAGCGAATCACCCAAGACCAAAAAAATTACCCTCACCTTCGTTGTCTTCTTGTCACATTTTTGGAAGGTGCTCTTGACACTTGGGTCCGCTTTTGTGGCGAGTTCACTGCTGGTGGAGTGATAGATAAGTCATCCGCTGCTCAAAGAGAGATGGCTTACATGAAAACAACAAACGACGACAACGAAGGCGCCCTAGGGACAGTCCGTACGTCTTTGCGGCGAGCACCGCACATGTCCTTGTCACACCTCAACTCTCGGTTCATGTACAAGAAGAACATGACAGGAACCTACATACAGAATTTCCTTCGGCCTGGGGCTCAAAAGAGGTTGCTCAAGAAGGCTCGCGCTGTTGATACACGAGGTGATGAGCGAAAACGGCGGGTTGCGCAGGCTAACTATGATAAGGAGCGGGTGAGGAAGAACAAGCAGCTGGATGTGCGGAGGAAGGAACGGCGGGATGCTGCAGAGGCTAAGCTCACCGCAGTTGTGCCTCGTTTGACCCTTGCAGAAGTCGAAAAGCTCCGCGTCGACGAAATTAACCTGCAGATCCGGTGGCATCGTCGATTTGACAAGGATGTGCCTGCTGCAAAAAACACGCCATCAGGAAAAGCAAAAAAGGTTGAGGTATTGATGGATGCAGTTGGGCGCTACGTACGAGGTGAAACGCACCCTAAAAACGATACACAGCACTCGATGGAGCAGCCAGACGGTAGTAACAATGCTCAGGGGATGCCTGGATGCGAGGATGAGTATGATGATGAGTGACCCTTATGTTTTGTTGACCATGGCTATTAATGCATAATGTTTAGAATTGATTATAATTCAACGATACAGCATTTTTATAGGTACTTACGATCTTGATAGTGTCGAAAGGCTTCGCCGTACACAGTTTGCCACAGTTTGCCGCTCGTACTACTACAATTTTGATTACATAATGTCACGCTTTTCTTAGAGGTGTTGCCCATCCCCATATACAGCCCCATAGCTCTATAGCTCGTATAGCCAAGTGCCCAATTGTGCAGGCTTACTACACCAGTATATAGTGCTATACCGTACTATGGCCAGCAATGTAACTATATACTACTATGATACGTATCTAATGTTAAGCAAATTTTAAGCTATACTGGACTATACCTGACTGTATTACATCCATATCTTCTTGCATTTGATACTATACAAGATTATACCTGACTATATAATGTCCATATCTTGGTGAATTTCATGCTATACCTGACTATACCTGACTATATAATTTCCATATATTGGTATAGTTGTTGAAAATGTTTGTCTATCATATGCTTTATAGCGTTATAAAGAGGCATATATTCATATTGCATGAGATATAGAAAGTGTGCATTCAGATACTATTATGGGTTAGGAACATCAGAAGTAGTAGTAGGAGCATTGGTTGGTACTCTAGCAGACGCCTCCATGGCATCAAAATCCAATTCAGAACCTGAATCTGCATCCTCTCTAGTCACAAAGCGACATGCCTCCCTAGTGTTGCAACCATTAGCAAATAAAATAGATTAATATTAACAATGAAAACGATCTTACCCAACCTCAGTCCACAGATCACACCTTAGTTTTTCCATATACAAGGGAGATTTTTAGCGATATTCAGCGAGCTTCAGCATATAGTACTGGGGTCTAAAGAAATTTAACATTAGATGACGTTAAAATATAATAATGAAGAGCCACTCACCTTGGTTGAAAGACTGGCTCTTTGAATTCTATGACAACTGGAGTTCCTGAGAGCATGCCCTTGAATCCACATTCAGCCTGAAAAAAATAATTAGCAATAGCTAAATGGAAAAAAAGGGCTGAATTACAGCTGTAGCAAGCAGCGCAATAAGATTATCAGGGAGTTTTTCAAACTTGTCTTTGTACAGCAGACCTTCTGATATAGCTCCTTGAAAAAATTGACTGATGAGCAGCTGATGCAACATAGCAGCACAGAATGGGAGATTCTTATTGAAGGTCTTGTTCTAAACGTACTTTAGTTTTATAATCTCATAGACATAGAAGACGTACCTTGAGATCCAATTCACCGCACAGAAAGGGATCCTTTTTAGCAGAGACCAGCCAGGAAGTTAAGTCCGCTATCTTGGAATCAGTAGTATTTTGTTTGAAAAAACAAGTGACGCACCAATATCCCTAGGTTTCATTTGCTGCAATAGAAAAATCACATTCTCTCTTGCCTTTTTAACCAGCTCCCCTCTCAACTGACTAGCACCAGACCACACCTAAAAAAAAAGTAAGCATGGAGTGCATCAAAAAAAAACACTCACATAAGCCAGTGCTCTATTCATTCTTCAGAACAGGATCTTCACTGATGGTGTCAAACATTGGCTTCAGGGGAGAGTCTGGAATCTTGACTGCTTCCTTGATGTAGTCCCATGCAAAGGCGTCCTGCACATCCACTGAAGGCCCTGGAAAGGCGCTCACTAATGCAACCTTGATGTGGAGTAGCTGGTGAGCAAGATCGACTAAGGGTCCGCAGCCGTCCTTCTTCAAGGAAGTCAAAGTGGTCAGTAGTTTAGTATCACCTTTATGAATTTGTTTCCTACAAATACATTCTCCTTTATCTTCTTGGGGCTCCTCCTTGACCTGAATGAGCTATATAAACAAAGTCAGCATTGAAGTTTATTGAATAAACATTACACACCCCATTGGTTCTCCTGCTAACACCTGTGCTCTTCATAGATACATCTCCATCTCCATCATTGTGGTCCTCATCACCACTGCCCTCATTTCCCCCATCTTCATCACTAGAATCTAATATAGTATGAGCGTATAATGAATAGAGAAATGTTGCCATACCAGGACTAGGTGTAGATTCTTTCTCTTTAGGAGGAAGAACTGGGGGTAAAATGTCTGCAGGATCAGCGTCATCTATATGTTCAATGTCACTGTCATCTAGAACCACTGTTGTTGAACACAACACTATTCCAACAAATTAGCTGTGTTATAGATGTTGAAGCAAAGACTTGCCTCTTTTACGCTTGTTATCTTTGCTGGTATATGCCTCGTCCACATCGCTCTCTTCATCTAACAAATCATCAGCTTTCTTCTGGATGTCTAGTATAGTTAGCATATTTCCTGTCCCTTCCCTTTAGGCTTGCTGGACTTGCGAGACATTTAATTATAGAAGTAAGATTTGAACAATGAGTAATGGCGTGAATGGGAAGGTTGAAAGGATGTAAGCAATTGAAGCTGACTTAAAAACAGTCAACAAAACTTTATAATTAGGCGGTACCAAACATATAAGCCATGGCACAATAAAGAATTCTACATTTTGCACATGTATCATACAAAAGAATGCATGGTCTGGTTATCTACCCAGCCATTTTGATTTTTAAGCCAAGCTGCAAACTCCCTGTCAGTCTGAAAGACAAAAGACACCCTTGCACCCTTATAGTCAAGGTTGAAATGTGTGACCTCATTTGACCTAAAGAGCGCAACATCACCAGAACGCAACTCCAGGACAAGTCCATTCTCTAGCAGGCACAAAGCGCCTCCTTGGAAGTGTCCAATAGGTATGACAAGACATAAATGGCGATCCTGTCCATCTCTATGGGCTTTGGTCCTCACATTGATGTTGATGACCAAAGATATAAATGGTGCAAAAGGTAGAGAGTGATTGCGAGGCAAGATAGATGTGACCTCCATCAGCATCTCAAACTCATCTTGCAAAAAATTCTCCATCTGCCAAACATCGACATAAATCTGTGAGCGTGAACAATTCTTTGCAATTACATACCAATTTTCTTACCCACTCAAAGAGCTCCGCATATGTCATATTCTGTACCTGAAGCTTCTCATCCGGTCCGGTCCGTCCGTTCTAGAATTCATTACCCCGTGTCCCCATTTGTATATGCTTCTTGATGCCCCTATACGCCCGGATCCTTCTGACAGTTAATATCCGGGTTCATTCTGATCTGTCCGTTAGTCTATTCATTTCCCTTTCATTTAACTTGTCCCCCCTGTTTCATTTAATCTCCGGCTCCATTCTCGATCGTCCGCAGCAGTTCATATCTGTTAGTACATTTTCTACATAGCCTTCTGATCTGAAGACTGCGCTTCGGCCGGAAACCCGTCGGATACACTACAGTATATAAACCCTTTGTAACCCGTAGTATTTCCTCAGTTCGAATATTAACTTAGACTCTGTTCAATCCTCGTGTCCTCTCGGCTCTTAGGATTATTATCCTAGTCCGATCCTCCGAGCCTCGGGATTATATTCCTAAGGCTAAATACCTCCACCTCTACCTTTGGGTAGTCTATACCTTGTTAGTTTCTACCCGGACGAAGTCTCGGGTAGTCTTCCCTCTTTTGTCCGGCCCGTCCATACCCCTCTCTCTCTCGTCCGGCCCGTCTATACCCTTTGGCCGACGATATCTACTCCCCCCTGTAAATTAGGGGCACGTACTCGGGTAAAGAGCGCAGCGCACGAGCTGAAGCTAAGCCCCTCCGGTCCGACCCATTGAACACGGTCTTAACAGCATATATGCGTGAGATTGTAGAGTAGATGTCTTGGTGTTCACGCAGATCCTTTGATATGTACGGAATCACCTGTTGGTAGTTAGTTAGTACGCATGCCTTCTTTTTCTAGAAGCCACGGTTGAACTTCCTTCGGGGCTTCATTACCCTGGTGCAATAATAATAATTAGCAACATTAGAATGTAGAAATAAAACAGCTTACCAAGGTACAATGCCTATTATACCAAGACAAGTGCATCGCCTGAAAGTGGTTACACCCAGGCGATTGTGCGTCTGCCTCTTCCAGCAACCCAGGCCTTTCCAACACAGACAAGGAATTTACCTTGAGCATGGAACAGATGTGGTTCTGTAGTGCTGTTGACACAAATGCCATCAGTGAACCGTCCTTGCAACACAGCTCTAAGTGATGACTGAGAAGTGTCAGCTTCAAATAAAAAAAAGCAGGAGTGCGCTACGCACTTGGGTATGATCTCCATAGGGATTCTTAAGTATGTGTCCTGCGATCTCTTAACACCTTTGGGATACAGATTCACAAGCTATATGAGTTATGAGCTAAATTGAATTAGTACTAGCTGAAACATACACATACCTTTGCCCACAAACTGTCAATACTTTTTACCCTCTCACCCCGCTCAGCTCACAACCTTTCATCAGCACTCCAGATCTCATTGTCTGCCTTGTTTCTTGGTGCCTTGAAGCTCTTGTTCTTCAATGCAAACAGATCGTACAAGGTCTTGATGACAATATGGTGCGTCTCATCTTCTTCAACATCTGAAAGTGGTGGGCTATAAGGATGACTGGAACCGTAGAATACATCGTAATTCAAGCTCTGTACAGGAACTCTGTTGGATTTGTTGGGTACAGGCACAATGCATGGCCTCCAAACACATGCGTTTCTTGAGAGTGGTACAAACACACTGATCAACAACAATGTCAGTCAATATGTTGCACATCAGTATGAGATACTCACTTTTGAATTATGGCGTCAAAGAACTGATCAGATGCTGAGAGGTCTGTGCAGTCGACTGATTTCGACACAACAAATCATTGAATCAGCGCAAGAGGGAACATCGAGGCCATGCTAAGGGGGTACACAAGACACATGTGTGCAATAGTCGGAACGATGTATCCTATGATGAGTTCTCTTTGGAGAGAATCTGTATTTTGGAGAATAGGTCACTTTAGCATCACAAAACATCAGAAGAACAACTTACCTTTAGGAGGCGATTACAGGAAGTTAGCTATATTCAAGTGCATAGTGCCTACCATGGAAGCAACAGAGACCCTGAGCCCTAAGCTGGAGATGAGCACCAGTATGTAAATGGAACCGCCACTGGCGAGAGCAATAAATTTTCTGCCAATAGCGTGCCAATCTGCAAATGTTCAATAAGATATCTTTCCTGCAGAACCGTAAAGCTTGATTTCCTGGTCATATATTGCTTTCAAGTGTAGACCGGTCTTGAGGTGTATGCTACAAAAGATCATATGTTAAATATGTTAGAGCAGAATGAGGATAGAATATGCACCTTTGGCACTTACAGACGAGCATCATATAGTTGATCATGACGAGGAAGTTGGCATGAATGTCCTTACTTGCGATTCCTCGACATTGGACTACAACAGAAATCAGTGACTTGTCCTCCATGCATGGAGTCTGTACATGATTTGCAATATCCTGGAGCCCGCTCAGGGGACTGTGGACGGTCGAATTGCAGTAAGCGGATGCAAATTCTGCAATGATCATAGCAGCTTCATCACTACATGTGATCTTGGGGTCATTGTAGCGATGTTGATGCCATGAACCTCGCCTGGTATTTGCTCTTGTCACATTGCATACATCACCTTCCATCTCTGCCTCATTCTCCATCTCATCCACTGCCGCTGCCTCCTCCTCCTCCTCTTCCTCCTCCTCATCCTCCTCATCCTCCTCCTCATCCTCCTCTTCCTCCTCCCCCCCATCATCAAGGTGCAGAGGATCCTGACCAGGTGCAGCAGCCTGAGCACACCGCAATTGTAACCACAACCTCCTAGCACCCCGATTACAGTCGTCATCAGCACCACAATTACGATTGTTGTTTGCAACATGAGGTCGATCGGACCCAGGCTCAGGTGACTCGCCTGGCGGTCCACTGCGTGCATGTATTGTAGAATGACGAGCTCGTTTAGTAGGGCGGGATGAATCAGAATAACCAGAGTCCTTGCTGTGTGATTGTGCTCTGTGGCGGACAGCAGGTAATTTGGACAGGATGTCACCAGCAGTTGTTGAGGATGATGAATTGAGTGGCAGATGTGTAACAGGAGGAATGTGAATTGAGTCGCAATGAGTATCAGACAACGAGCACTGAATATGAGCTTGATCAGTCAAATATTGATACAAGTCATGCAAAGCGGGTGGGAGCTGTCCACTGTCTGCCAATATCTGTAGCAAATGATCTGCTGCGTCAGGGGAGAGAACAATTGGCATGTTAAATCTAAATCGAGGGGACATAACTTATTGGAACCAAGAAGACGCTGGACAAGGATGGATAAATAATTAAGTAAGTTACAAATTCTTGCCCCTAGCTTAGGGTTCAAATTGCGAGTTGGTTGCAATCAGAGAGCTCTCCACCAATCAGCGCTCAGCACTCAATCACATTGCACTTTTCAATTACAAAGTTGAACTACTGGTCCGCCTCCTCCTTCTCAATGTGATTGCTCAGAGCATACCTTTCAGCAACCCCAAGTCTCAATGAAGCACAACACAGGAGACTTTACATTGAATCCTCCAATGTCCCACTAACTCCCCCTCATACCAGTGTCTCCAACCAGCGTCTCTGACCACACACATTTCTCCCCCGCCCCGCTTCCTGCGCAAAATTGAGAGTCCCAGATATGTTAGTTTATAATAAGCAAAGAATGAGATAATGAAACTTGATGATGTTGACGCCCCACGGTACAGCCTATTGAAAACTAAGAGACCTAGAGATGTTAGGTTAGAGAAAGCAAAGAACGAAACTTACTTTTGGCCAGTCATCACCTTGAAGAGCGACATGTAGTGTGAGCCACTTCTTTGTCATGTCCATCAGGATGACATTGAAGCCCCATCGTGCGGCCTGCGCAAAATTGAGACTAGGGATGTTAGTTCAGAGAAAGCAAATAACAAAACTTACTTTGGCCATCTTAGGTCAAAGATGTGAAAACCATTGAAAACACCTCCACGTCATCCCTGAGCAAAGCCAAAAGGCCCAGCGAAATACAAGTAGGTAGAGGATATGAGCCAGACATGAGACAATAGAAGAATTTCGTCAAAGTCTTTTGTTGATGTGTTGTTTGTATCAGTCACATGACCACCCACCAAGGTTTGACTGTGACTCTCCACGATTTCCTAAGTCCTTGACATTTTTTCAACTAATCATGAACTTGCTACCTCAGAGCGTCAAGTTTTACTTTAACGATTGGGACGACTTCAAAACATTCCACAGTACGTTTCCATGCATGCAGCTATGAATACCAAGAAGCTGATATTGAGAACATGTACATACAGTAACTTAATTCAACCATTCCACCCAAACAATACCCCCATTCTGGGTTATGATTGCAAGTTCACTGCAATCAGAGGGCTCTCCACCAATCATACTCATTCCTGCTCCACACATCACAACTTTTTGCAGCACATAAATAAAGGCAGACAGATGTATAGCTGTAGCCCATCAATAGTGGTGGTCTGGAGCTAGTCCGGGAAAAATATCAAGGTAAGTCAGTGCTTCTATTGTAATAAAGCCTTGTATTGACCTTGTCTTTGATTTCTTTCATCGAGTTGGACAGATAAAATAGACTGTCCTGACTTGAAAGCACCACACTTTAATTGCCAACACGGTGGCGGGTCCAGCACATCAATGGCCAAATTTATGAATCGTCCAGTCGAAGAAGCACTTTTTCTAGCAGGCAATTCAAAGATTAAGTGTATTTGGAGTTCAGAATATTGTCAGAAATCTCTTCCTGGGTCTGCTAAAGAACGCAAACCAGATATCATACTCCTGCCCAGCGACCCTCTTGTTCAGGACTGGTGTTGTGTTTTCACGCTAGCTGAGATGAAGCAACACAGTGTTGATGTGGATAAACAGGAGTGGTTTGATAAGATTGCAAAGTGAGCCAACACGATCTGGGGCTGTCAGGATGCTCGCAACTTTGTCATCATCTTGTTGTTGGTGGGCAAAGCGTTTACATTTGCATTTTTCGATCACGGAGGCACTGTTTGCCTTGATATGATAAACATCATGGAGGATAAGGAGGAATATCTTCGGCTTGTTTTATACTTATCCCTGGCTGATCCTGGTACGTCTTTCAATCACTCTCATATAGTCATTAGCTCACAATGTTATGCGATAGGTATGGTGGGTCTGGAGACATCCATCATGAAGAATGAAGCTGGGTGATTTATATGATCAAGGGTTTTCGGTCCCAAGGTGCTGATCAATATGGTACTTTTCATCAGCAATAATATTCATGGACGCGGCACCATGGCTCGTCACGTCACACTGTCACGTTAGCGCATTGCGCAGGCATTTCAATTGGGTGGGTCTTGGAGTGTGGTTCTGGTGTGTCAGGTCTAGAAAGTGCGGGAGAGTTAGACAACACACTACCGGGATGCAGGGAGATATGATGGTCATTATAAGGCTCAATAAAGGACACATGATGTGAGACAAATACTTTGTGTGACACACAATGGTAGCACCAATGGGCCTTAGAGTCAAGACAATACTCAATGAAGATACATTCAATTGATTGATTGAAGATTTTTGGGTTGTGTTGGTTTTGGATAAGGACAAAGGCACAACAACCGATCTCGTGGAGATGGGATAGGTCAGGTTTTTGAGAGAACCATGACTCGTATGGGGAGTGACCATCCTGTGATGAGAACGGGGTATGGTTAGATAAGTAGGCCACAGGAAGGACAAATTTGTCCCAACAGTTAGCAGGTATGTGTCATATCCCGCATTCCTGAACCCTATCTCCGATTTAATCTAACGGCTGGTTCTTCCGGCCCATCCCTTATCTCAATTGTGCTTCTTACCCCATTAGTATTTTCCCTTTGTCTAAACCCCTATATGCCGGATCTGCTTGACAGTTAATGTCCGGTTACATTCTAGATCATAACCCCTAGGCCCGGATCCACTCAACCCTTCATCTCCATTCCATTCCTCAATCGTTCCTGTAGTATTTTCCTTACACCTGTCAGTTTAGCCTTTCCATATGTTCCTCCCTTTGACCTGGATCTCCGCTGTTTCCGTCCCTGTCGCATATGTCCATAATATATAATACCTTGTACATCTGTAGTAGTTTCTCCAGTTCGAATATCATCTTAGACTCTGCCCATTCTATCCTCCGTCCCTCTCCATGTCTAAGGGATTGATTCCCCGTATGACTATACATCTGACTCTACCCTTGGGTAGTCTACCTCCATTAGTTTCTACTGTAGATCCGTCTACGGTAGTCCACCTCTATCCTCCGACACCCGGACTAAGCTAACCCGCCGGTCCGGACCCCATAACCCTACCGTCCAAAGTTAAGGGCAAGTACTCGGGTAAGGGGCGCAGCGCACGAGCTGAAGCCAAGCCCTCCGGATTCGCCTTTCAAGCACGGTCTTAACAGTATGTTGCACAATGTATGCATAGCGCATGCCTTACCCATTAGGGTACAGTGCAGGCGCTCAACACGACCATTGTGGGCCAAGGTATATGTGTTACGCTGAAAGCGTAGACTCAGGTAAGAGCTTTGTGCTAAGTCTCAGCAGAGATAAAGATAATGTGAAGGTTCGTGTATTGTCGTTGGTGTCAGTACTTGGTAACAAGAGTCGTCAAGTAGAGACTAGGCTAATGGTATTGATTGAGTATCAGACACTAAGATGGAGAGTCTTAAGTGAAGAAGATATATGAGAGCGATCTTGCTCAAGGAAGGTCTATCAGAATACTGAGTAGATTCAAGTTAGAGAATACAAGACAGGCTGATCGACTATTTATAGGTAAAGACGACTTCAGGGCAAGACTACCAATGCAATGGTAAGGGTACAGGGTACAAGATAAGAGATACGAGATAAGACAGCGATCAAGGATGCTGTTCAAGAAGATGATGGGGACATCATATGGCAATACAAGGTGGGAGAAAAAGATAGGGGGGGTCCGGTCCAAAGCATGTTATCGTAACAATATGGTGCTGTGAATTGTTGTGTGGTCCCACAGATGAGCAGCCATTCACTTACGTTGGTGGACTTCAGTTCACCATTGTCAAAGTGAAAGATACCAACCAAAAGGCCTGTCTTGACTTCACATGCGCTGGGCTGCAGCCCCGTACGGCACCATTTCCCCTGGCTAGACAAGGTCATGCCTACCTTCCACAGACCGTTGCGGACCATCATACGTGGTTGTGGAATCCACGCACTCTATGCATGCATCGCATCACAATGCACCATCTGTCCATGTCCTGTCTGTGTCCGTCAGTCCTCACTGGTGCATTCTCATTCTTAGTTAATCATTCCTGACCATTCGCAGGGCCAGTTACGTACCAGTTCCCATACATGAGTCTGTGTACCATTACTTACATGTATCTCCTTCCGACTTCGCTTGCATATGTGTCCACTTATACGGTCCTGGTTTCTTACGGACTCTGTTATATACTACATCTTGGACTCGTATCCAGGACACTTTCATACATTCCCTCTCTGGATGTGTGTTGCGGAGTCACTAGCATAGTCTTACCTTGTCCTTCCGTGCTTGAGCAATCATCTGTTTGCCTTCTCATCCCGCGCAAACGCTCACATTGTCATAGACAGTTGACTATTGCTAGTCCTAGTTGAGTTCACTTGCAAGACGGTTCCAGCGCGTCTTCGCATATACCTGGTACCAAACCTGTTCTACCCGTTTTACCTGTTCTGATACCTGGTACCTTACCTGTCTCGCATACCGGGTACTCCCTAGACCTCTGCATCCACATACTCCGCATCCCCACACATCCTCTCGCACGCAGCCGTTCCGTCTCCAGCGTATCACTTCCCTCCTCACTGTTCCCCTCGCTCATACTTGAGGAACTGCTCTCAGAGCTATCCCCTTGGGTTGATTACTACTCTCACACCCAGCAGGATCGGTATGCTATCACTATAGCGTACTTCTATGATTTCCCCCACAGCGTGTTCCCAAGCTTTCAGAGCTGGAACAGTGTCGCTTTTGGAGGCGAGGGGGATAGACCAGTATGAGGAAAAATCATCAATGATGTCCATTTTGTACTTATTGCCTGTGATGGACACAGTATCTGGGTGCTCCATCAGATCCACATTTACAATCCCCAGTCTGCAATCTGCACACTTTCCCCCCCCCCTCACCTTTGGTATGCTCAATATTGTCTGTTTACTGAGGATACAAGAATCACAAACAGGAGGGAGTGATGACAAGCCAATAGGCATACTGGTTGCAAAGCCAGAACACGCATAATCATAGATGGTGCGGTAATTTGCATGCCCGAGACATTTGTGCCAGGTCTCCAGAGTGGGGGTTTGGTGTGCAATATAAGTGTGATCCACGGAAATTTGGCCTCCCAAGATTGCATAGAGTCAATGGGATGTCAGAAAACCCGTGAGCATACGAGTCCCGCTGCAGGCTTGAACCCAGCAGGAGTTGGTGTCAAAGGATGCTACACAGCAGTGGGGCACATTGAGGAGACTGACAGAAGATGGACAGTAGCATTGGGAATAAAGAGTACATTGGTGAGCGTCACGTGAATACCTTTTGCGACAATGAGGCATATAGTACCAATCCCGATCGCCTGGATGGAGGAGTTACCGATGCCACTGACAACGTGAGGGGGTATAGGACACAGTGTATAGAAGTCCATTTCAATGTTGCTAATATGGACAGATGCTCCACTGTCGAGGAAGAAAGGTACTACAGATCAATTGATTGGGGTATGTGCACATTGACTAGGGGCTTTGTATGTGATTCCCGCAAAATCAACGAACTGTGAGTGGGTATGCCAGTCGACGCTAGCTTGAATGTCGACAGCGGCAAATAATGTGTCATAGGCATTGTCAGGGAGCTAGCTCTTCAATGAAGGCTGAGGAAGTGCTACTGTGTGCGATGCCTGAAAACTCCTGGGTTGGTGTGGTGTTACCAGGAGTAGAAGAAGCAGG